TCCAACAAAACCGATATGTCAATCGTGGATGTAAAACCAGAGCCCTCAACAACCTTAAATTGCATATATTGATAGACGAACTTGTTTGGTGCTCTGAAAGCGGATACCAAGATATGGGCTTTGTGTTACAACACACATTAGCTGAATGTTTGGTTCAGTGTATAGTCACTATTCCAAATTCCTTGTGTATTGGAATGCAAATGGCCCAGTTAAAATCGTAATGGCACGGTTAAAATAAGATCCCTCTTGGAACCATATTTTTTTAAACAAAAAGACTCTGTGACAATGTTATTAGATAATCACATGTAAACTGAACAAGCACGTTCTCAATGATAAGCATATGAACACACTTAATGAACAACATGATTCATAAAATATATCTGGCATTCAGATGTTTATGGTCCAGCGCTATGACCGTGGAATTTATTATATTTTAAATGTTTTTACTAGCTTTGGCAAGTCTAGATCAAACTAAACCAAGTCTAGTTTCCTGTGGATTATATATATTTTTTGTATTATATTTTACTTAAAGCCTCAGCAAGTCTAGATCAAACTTAACCAAGTCTAGTTGCCTTGTTTCCACAAAGTTTCCATGTGAAAACACCAGAGGAGAAAAGGTTCTTTTGAAAATATTAATTACAATTATTATAAAGTTATGTTTTCTTAGACTATGTGGTCTTATATGTTTAAAGACTCACAAATTATCAACCCTTATGAAAGGGAAGGGACATATTTTCTAAACTACAAGTGCTATGTAAATACCTGAAATGACGTTCACAGAAAGCGAAATTATTCTTTTTGGAACACTTAAATTCCAAAGGCCCATCTATATATCTTTATGAGGGCCCCGTGGCACATGTGTCTATTTCTGAATGTTCAAATTCTGGCTGTTCAGTTGATGAATCGTTTGTCGTTATGATCGAAATGTTTTTTTTTCTCTCAGTACAGTAAAGGGGCAACAAAGTAAGCTGGTGTTTCTTTGGATGAAATCTTTATAACAGTATGGAAGAGTTACCTCCCTTGCACATGAAGTGTTGCCACCTAGTAGAGTTACTGCCCCTTACTACCAGATGGCGTCCTCTACATATAACGCAGGCAACAAGCCCGCATTTAGTGCTTGTTAGCACATTTTTGTGTCTTAGTTTTTAAAAATGAAAATTAGCTATGGTCATATTACAGACAGACACAAATCACAATACAGACAATTTTGTATTCAGAAAATTGTACAGTCTGAAAAAGAAAATTAGTTTGTGTTTTCAGTTGTTGTAGAGAAATCATTTGGAACCAACTGTATTTTTAATGTAAAAATGTAAAGGCATTGTAAACCCACAATTCTGAAATCACAATATGAAGTAATCTGTCATTTTCTGAAGCACACTCTCTCTCTACATAAACACATCGTTCAAAGACAGATGTGACGTCGCCCTCGAATGCAATGACGTCATGATGCAATGGATGACATCATACGTCACATACTTTCGAGATAACTGAACTCTGAGTGTGGAAGAAGCTTTAGCGAAGTTGTTCTGATTAATATTGATCAAACTTGATGTTTGGTATTCATTTTACTGAGCCGAATGGCACATTTTGCTAATTTGGGATTGAGGAACAAAGATATTATCAAGAAAAAATTTCTGTACAGTGAATAGTCAAGGTGATTTCTGGGCTAGAAATTCCCATTTAATCCTGTTTATCAACAAATCCTATTGCAGCACCCGCTCCCATCCGTTTCACAACTAGTATTACATTAGTGGTGTATTGTTGATAAATATGGCTACGAAGTTCAGCTTAATGATTATCTTGGTGTTATTCAATATTTTAATAATGAACCATATGAATCAAAGCTTCTTATTTTGTGATCAATAATCCATCGGTAATTCTTTTTCAACTTAATTGCATTGAAAGGAAATTCATTTAAGTGCATCAAAACAAAATGGTTCGATGTATTATGTATGGATAAGTGAGACTAATGTCAATATATGTCATCAAAATCCTTATTAAAGAAGAAGACTAATAAGTGAAAGTTTATTTAGTTTTGTCATGGCTTCATGTAGAGACAAATCTCACTGGACATTGACAAAACAATCCCCATAATCGTATTTAAGACCTGAGCAATAATAAAAAACACTTTTGTATTACTTGATAACAGTTGAAGTGGTTTGTAGTGTTGGATTGTCCTGTTGATCAGGTCCCTGATTTCTGGTAACGGATGATAGTGATCTTTACTTTGTCTTTGCCATGGTTGTTTAAGAGCAGATCAAAGATTAGGACTCTCAATCGCATGAGTCAGAAACTCACTGTCTTTATTGAAACTATAGAGAATGAATACAAGCTGTTGCTACTGGTCTCATGTACAGTTATTTCAGAGATTGACATGAATTAGATTCCACATACTGGACACTGACCACATACTGGACGGGGGCACGGGTGGCCCAGTCGTCTAAGGCGCCGCGATTTGCTGTGCAGAGTTATGTCCCTTAGGCACGCCAGAAACCTATGATTGTGGGTTCGAATCCCGGTTCGCCCCAATTATGTTTCTAGGTTTGTCAGCACCATACCCGTGCTCGTGGGTTTCACCGAAGTGGTAAACGTCTGACACCTGCATCACTTGGGGCTTTTCTCCCACATTAAGCTGACACGCCGTGATATGACTGGAATACTGTTAAAAGCGGCATTAAACACAACTCACACACACACACACACACACACACACACACACACACACACACACACATATACTGGACACTGACCACATACCGGTAAGCTGACCAATGAAAAATCCTGTTTATTTCAAAAAAGAAATTTGATCAATTCATATTCCAAGCAAGTTCGATTTCAGTCATTCCTACAGTTGCTTTTCCTGTCTGCAAGCTAAAGTTTCAATCTACAATGGTCCCATTAGCGCCAAGAAAATCGTAACTCCCATACAGTAAGGAAATCAAGATGTTCATTTGCGGTTGATGATAGGGTAAAAGGATGGCAGACTACACCCTGGGTAGAGAGATGCCTGGGTCTCTCGTAACCCCATACTTATGTAGACTTGCAACAGTCATAGCTCGAAGATTTCTTTGTGGAACGGGCACCAATTATTATGACCCTAGTTACTCGTGAGAGTCTGTCATGGGATTCCTTGTTCACAGATGGTACAGATTACAGTGTCTAGACCTCTCCTGGAAAGTTGGCACCACACCATAGAGCATTGTTCCGCAAGGGATTTGTGTAAATGTGTGCAGGGTTGTCTCCCTCAGCAGAGCAGGATCCTCTAATAGTAGCTCCAAATCCAACATTTGCACCAGCTATGTTCAATGGCCTTTCAGTACCATACCCATACTCATGGTGAAGGTCGGACATACATAACATTCAATATACACATACAAATATATTTTGCAGTTTGTAATTTATCTCCAATTATTGTATTTTGCGTATCAGGTCTGCAATATGATAATTTCGAAAGTTTTAAATTTGTATAATAACACTTGAACTTGCGAGGGCAGTTTAAAGACCCTGACAGTGTCACTCATTTCAACACAGGCATATTTTGAGTTCCTGCAATCCTACACTGTTCCTGTCAACAACATTCTCCAGGCACATGTAGACCACGATGATGTCAGCCAAGTCAATAAACTTGTTGATACTTTCACATGTCGACATTCAAACTATTCACAGGCATGCAACCAACAGCTGTGCTGCAGGCTCTGAATCCTCACACGTTTCAAGGCATCTTCATCACTGATTCCATTTCATGTCAGAACCTACCGAGGTTGTTCGAATTTCACAAACTAGGATTTGAGCTAAGTTCAAAATTGTTATACGAGCGAGGGTGGATTGTGTTATTTTTTTAGCTAGTGTTATCGTGCCTACGTTCTCGGGGAGGAGTCGGAGTGGAAGTGTTTGGATGTTGTCTGAATGACACTCGCAAATCGGTTTATATTTTTTAGGCTAGAGTGTGGGAGGTAGGAGGCATGTGGTCGAAAATAGAAAATGGAATTTTGATGACTGTGCATACAAACTTGAAAGGTTATCCTGTCATTAAAGTGGGAAACCGATGGGGAAAAAATTGCTTTCAAGTTTGATTATTTAAGTAAGCTTGAGGCTGATCTAAATTTATCCTATGTGGAGTATGGCGCATTTAAGTTGCCATTCATTCAATGGGGATTGAGTTTGTGTGTTGATGATGTATAGTTGTGAGGCTAATATTTGATTATTATCGCCACCATATATCAGACTCCGACACGTTTATTCAGTATATAGGCCACCTGGCCAAAGTACAAATATTTGACGACACGTTAAAACTTCTTGAGAAAATTTATATTACATTATAACATACATGAAATGCCTTGTGTCTGAGCTACCATATATCACTGTGTCGGGATATAGGATTTATGTGGAGGTTGGAAACAATTCACTGAATGTGAATTTGTTAAGAAACAGTTGAGTACCTTATTCAAAATATTTGTTTAGGTACTCAGGGCATATGAAATAGGACAGGTAGGACATTTAAAATTTATTTCAGCTATTAGTTGGGTAAGACCTATGTTATTATGACCCAGGGACAACAGTCATCTTAGGTGCCTCAATTCACGGTGCAGAGTTGCGTCCCTTGTCCCTTTGGAGTGTCATGAACTGATGATCATGGGTTCGAATCCTGGTTATTCCTGATTATGTTTCTAGGTCTGTTGGCACCATACCTGTACTCGTGGGTTTCAGCAAAGTGGTAAACGTCTGAAACCTGCATCACTTTGGGCTTTCCTCCCACATTAAACTGACACGCCGTGATATAACTGGAATGGTGTTCAAAGTGACGTTAAATCTAACTCACTCACTTGTCTGGGGATGTCGAACACCATGACGACACAGATAATAAAGGATATGTCATGTATGGTATATCCACTATTTCATACCTGATGGTCAATAAGTATGATATGAGTGTTAGTATTACACATATTCATAGATGACACAAAGGTGATATTTTTTCTTGCATTATTTGTCTTTGTTTACAGAGCAATGACGATTCCGCGTCCGGTTGTGTACGACCAGCTGACGTCTCGCCTCGGGGAGATGTATCAGATGACCTTGAACATCTTCTATACTCAGAGTAATGGCGAGGTACGTACAGCACTGTCATCCAAACATGGTGGGGGCACGGGTGGCCCAGTCGTCTAAGGCGCCGCGATTCGCTGTGCAAAGTTGCGTCGCTTGGGCACGCCAGAAACCTATGATTGTGGGTTCGAATCCCGGTTCGCCCCAATTATGTTTCTAGGTTTGTCAGCACCATACCCGTGCTCGTGGGTTTCACCGAAGTGGTAAACGTCTGAGACCTGCATCACTTCGGGCTTTCCTCCCACATTAAGCTGACACGGCGTGATATAACTGGAATACTGTTAAAAGCGGCGTTAAACCCAACTCACTCACTCACTCCAAACATGGTCCTCATGATGCCATCCAGGACCAACACATTTGGTGACGGAACTTTTCAGACAGCAGGACTGTAACTGTGGAATACCCTACCTTTACACATTTTCGCAATTCAGGAATTTGCAACCTTTTTGAATACACTGAAAACACATCTTTTTGAGCAGGCCTAGGAGGTGTAGAGACCAGATCGATTGGTCCGTCATGACATTGCTCACACTTATAGTGCTTTTAAGCAGATGTTGACTGGATAATAGCGTAATACAAATGTATAGATATATTATGAATATTGTTGGGAGAAGAGGAGGTAGCCTGTTGTTTGAAATGTCAGCTCATACTGTGAAAGATCTAATCACTGTATGGTCGAAATATTGCCAATGTTAATATATATATATTTCACTTACTATTTCTATGCATTATATAACGTATAATATGGTGTATGACATGGTGTATGTTTACATGTTAAAGATGGCAATGGTTAAAACTTTGACTGAAGACAAGGAGTCAATTCCCTCCAATCTCATTATGATTAAGGCTGAAAAAAATAATAGTCTTGGTTCTCAGGCACCGCCCGCATCATCATAACGCCACCCGCCCGCACTACATTTCAAAAATCAGTTGCCTGAGAACCAATTCTTTTATTTTTTAAAGCCTAAAATGTAATCTTTCACTCTGATACCTCTCTGCATGAAGATATGAAGACAGCTCTGTAGGAGCAGACTTTGACTGTCTATATGTTTGTATGTCTGTACTTCTATATGTTTGTATGTGTGTATGATTATTTGTTGGTATGCCTGTATATGGCTGTATATGTCTGTATGGTTTTTGCAGATCTACGTGCCATTGCTGACACAGAAGGACTTGGACTCTGCAGTTCAGCTTGTCGAGCAGAATGAACACGCCAACAGCCTGAGGCTCTACCTCACCTACGCTGGGAACACCAACCATCGCAACTCCGGCGTTGATGACAACTACTCATGCAGTCCGCAGAATACACATGTACGCCACTGACACCATCGTAATCACCATGTCACAAATGAAATCACCTCAGTTTCCAAATTTCCAGATCAACGATATAGTTACGGAGTAATTTCCTTAAGTTGAATTTATATGTTGTCTTCCAGAAGGAATTGTCAATACAGTGCTTTGTTGTTTAAGCGCTGGAAGTCACTGTGAATGCATGCCATATCCTTTGATTGTGGGTTTGAATCCCAGTTTCGGTCAGAGGTCTTTGTGTGCATATCTTAAGTTAGGCCTGTCCAGTAATAGTATGGTGTTGTGTGTGTTCCAGGTGCGTGACACACCCAGCCCACCTCCCGGTTCTCTACCCCCCAGCGAGAAGCACTTCCGTACAGGGTCATACAGCTCCCTGGGGGAGGGGCAGTTCATCCCCGAACATGAAGGGGTAAGTTCAGAAGCGAGTCAAGGTTTCAACTGTACTGGTAATATCACAGCAGACATCAAGCTAGGCTTTACAAGTACCGATTCCAGGATTTGTTTGTTTGTTGTTTGGTGCCGCATTATTCCAGCTTTATGACAGCAGTCTGTAAATAATTGAGTCTGGACCAGACAATCCAGTTGTTGACATCATGAGCATTGATCCATGCAATAGGGATACGATGACATGCATCCACCAAGTCAGCGAGCCTTACCACCTGATACCGTTAGTCGCCTCTTACGACAAGCATAGTCACCTTCTACGGGAAGCATGGGTTTTTGAAGACCTATTCTACCCCGGATCTTCACAGGTCCCGATTCCAAGAATCAAACCCTTGTCTTCAGTCTTAACAAGTGAACACTTTAACCACTCTCCTACTTGAGGGGAAAGGGTATTCCAACAGTCTGATTCCATGATGCCAAGTAGCCCATGTTTGTCATACAAAGCTACCATTATAGGAATTAGATGGCTGCTGAGTATGAACTGACTTTGAACTATTTCCACCGTGGAAGACTTTCATATTGGTTTTCCTTGTTGGATTCTGGGTTAGAATTGGTCTTCAGCAACCTATGTTTGCCTTAAGACCATAGTGGTTCAAATGGCACGCTTGAGGATTTGTTCAACCTCAACGACGTGGATTGTTGCTCATTATATCAATCATTGGTTTGCCTTGTCCAGACTTGATTATTTACAGGCCGCTGTCATATAGTGGGAATATTGCGGAGTGCCATGTTAAACTATATACAAGAACACATGGTTCAATGTCATACTATACGATGTGTCCCACAACATGGGACAATGTGTGAAGCCTATTTGTAGTGTTATCTGCCCAAATATGGTTGGATAAGTGCTGAAATCAGCATGAAATTCACTCACTTACTCACTCAAAAAACTGGGACATATGAAGTCATCAAGACACAAAGTAGCTGTGTGCTGCGTTGTTGGAGGGGCGGTCGGGTAGCCTTGTGATTAAAGTGTTCGCTCGTCATGCCGAAGACCCAGGTTCGATTCCCGACATGGGTACAATGTGTGAAGCCCATTTCTGGTGTCCCCCGCCGTGATATTGCTGGAATATTGCTAAAAGCGGCGTAAAACCAAACTCACTCACTCACTGTGTTGTTGGAACAAAGTGGCCACTCATGTCAACATGTGATCTAAATAAAGCTCAAATAGTTTATTTCTGTCAGAATTTTCTGTATTTTCCTGAATTCACAAGGAAATGGAAACTTACCGGGTAGTCAATACGCTGCATAAAGATAACCGTCACTGTTTCTGATAGAATTTATTTTTGTCTTTATAGATTTAAGCTGTATTTTCTATTTGTATCAGAGGTGTGGGGGTGGCCTTGTGGTTAAAGCGTTTGATTCCCCACATATGCCCCGTTTCTGGTGTCCCCAAACCTCACTCACTCACTCACTCACTCACTCACTCACTCACTCACTCACTCACCCACCCACCCACCCACCCACTCACTCACTGTGCAGAGCTGCATTCTTTGGGCACACCAAAAACCTTTGATCGTTGGTTCGAATCCCGGTTCTTCCTGATTATGTTTCTAGGTTTGTCAGCACCATACCCATACTGGTGGTTTTCACCAAAGTGGTAAACGTCTGAGACCTGCATCACTTCGAGCTTTCCTTGGGAAAAACTGGAAAACTGTTAAAAAACAACATAAACCCAACTCACACACTCACTCACTCTATCTGCATAAACATGTGATATTTTATTATAGGGTTCATATTGAGGGTCCTACAAAGTTAAGACATATGTTTACCTTCTCCCATCTGTATATTTCTGTAATACTGCAAGGCATGTTGATGCCCTGGGAAAGGTTTTGGTCTGTTTATTTATATATACGTTTTACTGCTGTAGTGAGAGCTGATGTAAATCTTGGTCAAGTATATCTGTTTCCCTCTGAACATTGTTCTTTTGTATGGCTCTGATTGTTTCTGAGCAATAGTTTCCTTGTTTCCTGTGGGGTTTCCAGTTTCAGGATGGAAGGATGTGGAATAGATGGGATGAATATATAAAACCTCTGTGACACGAAAGCCAAAAAAATAATATGAAAATTCATAATTGAATAAGTAAATATGTGTAATATATTTTAGAAGATGAAATAAACTAAACTGATTACTTGATTAATTTATAGATAATAATAGATAATAATTGTGGCATTAATATAGTTAATCTGAGCTTGAAACAGCAAAGGTACATCTGATGGGGAATATTTCAGAGCATAAAAGTTGATATTTCATGACCAACCACATGTTATGAAAAAAACTATATATAGCATCACATTAATTTCAAATTTATGTCAGGGAGGAAAGTCATATATGTATATAACTTATCATACATGGTAAAATTGTCAGTTTTCGTTAATATATGCCTGGCATTTTGCCTCATCAGTAATCAGATGTCTGATTGATGTCAGCAAGTGCAGATTATAAATACAATACTCAGGTCTGGTTAGATGCAAACATTTGCACAAAGTAAGTTATTTAGCTATTTGCAGCCTCATGAGATGAAGAAGGCTTGTACATGTTAGAGTGAGTGAGTATGTTTTTTCCTGCAATATCGCAGTGGGGGGGGACACTAGAAATGGGTTTGTATATCTAAGAAGATGTACCAGTCACATAAACAGATAATTAATTACCGTATTCGACGTAATAAGCGCCCAGGGCGCTCTCGAAATTAGAAAGAGGGGGCTCTTATTAGAATATAATTTTGGTGGAAGAGTTGAAAGATCGTACATTTTGTGGTTTAGGCTGACAGCCTGAAATGATACAAAAGAAAAGTCTGTGCGTATTAGACATGCCAGATATATTTTTCCAGAATTTAATTTCTCGTAATTAAGGGTGCATATAACACTAGTGAGTGAGTGAGTTGGGTTTAACGCCGCTTTTAACAATATTCCAGTTATATCGCAGCGTTATAACACACGAAGGGTGCTACTTGGGATTGTTCACTAGCCAATATATTAGCAAATATCGCTGTGGGCGCTTATTAATTAGAGCGGGGCGCTTATTACGTCGAATACGGTATCTGTTTGGGAGATATGTGATGTTCTTTTTGTCATTGCTGGCATGAAGTAATCTTATGTTAATGGACCGCCTCGGTGGTCTAGTGGTAGAGCGTCCGCCAGGAGAGCGGAAGGTCCGGGGTTCGATCCCCAGCCGCGTCATACCAAAAGACGTTAAAAGATGGTACTTGTTGTTACCCTGTCTGGCGCTCGGCATTAAGGGGCTAAAACAAGGACTGGTCGGCTCGGAGTCAGTATACTGTGTCTGAGTGGGATATTATCTCAGTGGGCTAGCACTATAAATCGACATCAGTCCGGACTAGTACAAGCAGCCACACACACACACATACACGTGCATGCACGTCGCTATATAAGTGCAATAATCTTGGACGCGACGTTAAACCCCATTTCACCTCACCTCACCTCTAATGTTAATGATTTTTAATTCATCATGCAGTGTGGCAGGGAACATACCGGTTGTGTTGTCATCTGATCGCTATTTGTAGGTGGTGGTGCAGGAAGGGTTACGCATGTTTGACAAGTTCGTTTGTCTTCTGAATATATTACTATTATCATTATAATCATAATTTAGGTTTATTATTATTATGATTTAGCTTAATTAGTGTATAAATGTGTGATGTAAGGAAGTATACAACAGTTGAGCAGTTATGTAAACAGTGGTTGGTACTTTCTTGGCTTCATATCAGGTTTATCAGCCTTATGATAATATCTATGATACTTAATTGACATACAACAACAACAACAACAACAACAACAATAATGGCATTGGGAGAGTACCCGGGTTTGCAAATAAGAATACAGCCCTTCTGCAAATTTTGATAATGCAGAGGGCTGCAGTGTTGGGGAGTCTTCACATTCTCCGTGCGTTTGACGAGACAGCGCTTCTTGGGAGAAGTCCCATTCGCTGTCAGGGCTGCATGTAGAGGGGGCAAGGGCCCTGAGCTGATGATGAGCCTAACCAGCCTGACTGTGCCAGGATCATCCAAACCCTCTTTGCTGCATTTTTTATTTTAATAATAATAATAATAATAGGCAATGTGTGACCAGCTGTATTAATAAATGTATTATGGGATTGCGAACTTGGCGTACAGCGGGTTTAAACATTATGAATTAAAGCTTTATGAAGACTGTATTCGACAAATGAATCAAGATATATGTCATTATGTTAATGAATATGATGATGATAATATTAAGTGGCTCTCCTTGTCAGATGATTTTTATATCTGTTTCCTAGTGATTGAAATTGACATGTTTTTTGCAGATCGCGTACCCCAGTCATGTAGGCTCAACAGACAGTATATCCTCAATAGATAGTAGCTACATCAGTGGCCAGTGAGTATATCAGCTGTTTACTTCAGATGTACATGTGACGTGTGTGATGTGTGGGGAGTGTGTGTGGTGTGTCAGATGTGTGTGGTGTGATGTGTTTGTGTGTGTGTGTGGTGTGGTGTGGTGTGTCAGATGTGTGTGTGGTGTGATGTGTTTTTGTGGTGTGATGTGTGTGTGTGGTGTGATGTTTTTGTGTGTGTGTGGTCTGTGTGTGTGGTGTGTCAGATGTGTGTGGTGTGATGTGTGTGATGTGTTTGTGTATGTGGTGTGGTGTGTCAGATGTGTGTGGTGTGTTTGTGTGTGTGTGTGTGGTGTGGTGTGTCAGATGTGTGTGTGTGTGGTGTGATGTGTTTGTGTGGTGTGATGTGTGTGTGTGGTGTGATGTGTTTGTGTGTGTGTGATGTGTTTGTGTGGTGTGATGTGTGTGTGTGGTGTGATGTGTTTGTGTGTGTGTGGTGTGTCAGATGTGTGTGGTGTGGTGTGTTTGGTGTGGTGTGATGTGTGTGTGTGTTGGGGTGTGTGATATGTGTGTGTGTGGTGTGATGTGTTTGTGGGTGTGGTGTGTGATGTGTGGTGTGGTGTGTGCGAGATGTGTGTGGTGTGATGTGTGTATGTGATGTGTGTGTGTGTGTGTGAGATTTGTGTGATGTGTGTGTGTGTGATGTTAGATCTGTGTCTGTATCCAGGGATCAGGGAAGTTGCACCAGTTAATGCAGTGTATGTAGGAAGGGATGTTTCTGTAATAATATACATGCAGTTAATAAGGGATGCAATGCATTGGCTGCTATAATGGATTCAGTATCAATAGGTAGTATGCAGTAGGCTCAATAAATGATGCAATACATACAATATGAGTTTAAAGAAGGAATGTGGATAATGTTATTGATAAAAAAAATGGAAGTGTTTTAATTACATTATGTGACATCTCATTGCAGTAGTAATGACACGTACCCGTTTCGGGGACGGCGAGACTCCCGGAGAAGTGTGCTTTCTGATGGCTGCAAGGACGACCCCAGTCAAGGTGAGTGATCCTTCACTGAGGACCTTCATTGGATTAAACTGTTGACTTTCTCATACCTATATTTGTGTAAAGCTCTCACGGTTTCTGCGTCGTGGTGTTTTTACAGTTGACACATTAAATTCAAAATTTGGATATCTGGCTGAAACATTTAGTCATTCGTTACAGAGCAGCCATTGCCTCCTGCCTGTATAAATTATTATATGACCTTTGTGACAGTGGAACATTTCAGTATTGTAGTTCTACTGGATATTTTCAGCAGGGAGACGGCAGTTTGGAACGTTTCCTCGTGGCTATGATGCTGTGAATCACCCAAATGTAGAAGGTATGTCAAACACATCCAACTTGAAACATGTTCTCAAAACAATTCTGTTGACATAACACTGTGTTATGAATGTTTTATTATGTTGTTGATCTTTAGAGAACAATAAATATTGTCTCTGTGAAGCTATTCTGATTTGGTGCATATCAATGTGGATAATGATGAGGACAATTTACAGAGTTACTGTCATTTTTAAAAATGGTACATAATTTCATTTAAAATATCAAAAGCTTGATGGATATACATTCAGAACAGCATTGTAAAGAGAATGGTGATTTCATTAGTGATGATGATGATGATGATGATGATAATGGTGATTATGATGATGATGTCCCATTTATATCCCCAGGTCACCAGACATTTCCTCGCTCCACGATCCGACCGAAGGGTCCGGAACATGACACGATGTCGTTACGTTCGATCGTGTCCCAGGGCAGCGAGGGGACGATGAGCACGTGCAGCAGCAGCAGTAGCGGCCTTCCCCCCGAGGAAGACTCCCCTTCCATGTACAGCTTCTACAGTCTACAGTTCTCTAAATGTAGGTGCTTGACTTACCTGCTTCATTTGAACCATTATGGGACAGCCGCAATATAACTGGAATACTGTTAAAACCAGCGTTAAACCCAACTTACTCACTCCTTCATTATGGGACAAGCCCAAGTGGTGGGTAAGGTGCTGCTAAGTGCTGTGCAGAGTTGTGTCCCTTTGGTGTGTCATGATCTGCCGATCCTGAATCCCAGGTTTGCTGAGATTTTGTTTCTTGGTTTGCACCAATGGTCATTGTGTTAAGAGTATTAGTAGTGTATGAGCTGCATCACTTTGTATTTCCCTCCCACCTTAACACATGAGACACTGAAATACTAGATCCCAATACACTATTAAGCTCCATGTATCATTTGTATTACTATGGGGGCATGGGTGTCCCAGTCGTCCCAGTCGTCTAAGGCGCCATGATTCGCTGTGCAGAGTTGTGTCCCTTGGGCACCTTGGGGCACACCAGAAACCTATGATTGTGGGTTCGAATCCCAGTTCACCCTGATTATGTTTCTAGGTTTGTCAGCACCATACCCGTGCTCGTGGGTTTCACTGAAGTGGTAAACATCCGAGACCTGCATCACTTCGGGCTTTCCTCCCACATTAAGCTGACACACCCAAAATAACTGGAATACTGTTAAAAGCGGCGTTAAACCCAACTCACTCACTTGTTCAAAGTTGTTTTACTGTATTTTACATGGTTTGCACCCTAACAGACACCCATAAATATTGTTTTGCTCGACAGCTCCTAGAGCGCCCTCTAACTGGAAGAGGGGGAAGCAACTTGGTGTTGGAGCATTCGGAGAAGTGTTTGTGTGTTACGATGAGGATGCTGGAACGGAGCTTGCTGTCAAACAAGTGCAGCTTGGGAATGTCAATGCAGAAACCTCTAAAGTAAGAATGGTGGAGTTTTATTTTATCCCTATTTTTCATTGAGTTCCAATTGAAGCTGTTTTATGCATGTTTTTGTAGTGAACTGTAACAGGAGTAACAATTAGAGAACCCAAACCTTCACTCCGTGAATGAGGTCATACTATGGACTTATAAATGTTTTGTTTGTTTGTTGTTCAACGCCGCACTCAATATTCCAGGTATATGAAGGCAATCTGAAAAATAATCAAGTCTGGACCAGACAATCCAATGAGTGACATCATGAGCATCAATCCATGAAATTGGGATACGATGACATGCATCAACCAAGTCAGCAAGCCTGACCACCCTATCCTGTTAGTGGATTAATAAATGTATTCTATTGTTGGATGTTGTGTTGGAAATGCTGAGTGTTGTGTTGTTTTACAGGAAGTGCGTGCCTTGGAGAACGAGTTGCAGTTGTTACGGAACTTCCACCATGAACACATCGTCCAGTACTACGGCTGTCAGCAGGATCGTAAAGTCTTGTCAATATTCATGGAGCTGATGCCGGGGGTATGTGAGCTTCTTGTCTGCAGTTTGTTTGTTTGTTTGTTTGTTTGTTAACGCCGCACTCAGCAATATTCCAGCTATATGACGGCCGTCTGTAAATAATTGAGTCTGGACCAGACAATCCAGTGATCGACATCATGAGCATCGATCCACGTAATTGGGATCGATGACATGCATCAACCAAGTCAGCCAGCCTGACCACCCGATCCCGTTAGTCGCCTTTTACGACAAGCATAGTCGCTTTTTAAGGCAAGCATGGGTTGCTGAAGACCTATTCTACCCCGGAATCTTCACGGGGAATCTGCAGTTGAAGTCTCATTCCAAACACCCATCCTATGTGTTGATGAAAAGTCCACAATATTTCTGTGATCCAATCTCATTTAATGTTTTTAAACCAATCAGATCACAGCACACAGCCCCATTCTATTCACAGTTGTGTTTCTCACCGGAGATGTTGTTCGGCTTCAGATGTCTGTATTGTTTTGATGTTTGTGTTGTTCTGATGTTTTCGTTGTTCTGATGTTTACTAGGGCTGTTACGATTCACTCGCGTATTCGGTGAATCGAACCGTAACCATTCATGAATTGAATTCGTTATTCATGGCCACTCAAATCGAATATTTATGAATATGCTATCATGTATATTTACATACCCTGTACCTAAAAATATCCATAACAACATATTATATGCATAGATTTCTTTCAATGACAACACTCTGATAATATATAATTTGATAGTATTGTTTTCACTGGTCATTGTCGCATTTGAGCAGATACTAGTACCTAGATAAGTGCAGTATATAAATGTATAACTTAGTGATAATTAACAAACCATGTCAAATAAATTATGATGTCATTGTTTCACTGAATATAATAAATACTACATAAACTGCTGACTTGTTATTGTAATTGTGAATTAATATTCGTATTCGTAACCCTATATTCGTGATATGAATCGTATTCGCCTCATAGTGTATTCGTTGCAGCCCTAATGTTGACGTTGTTCTGATGTTTGTGTTGTTCTAATGATTGTGTTCTGTTACAGGGATCTGTGAAAGACCAGATCAACAATTACGGCGCTCTGAAGGAGCAGGTTGTCAGGAAATACACCCGCCAGGTCTTGGAGGGGCTCGCCTACCTGCACAAAAATGTCATCGTTCATAGAGATATTAAAGGTAACCAAAGAAGGGAACAAGTACAAATTCAAAGTTAACACCACAATTTCTTACCATGCTGCTACGACAGTCTACAATTGCTTCTAATCACCTGAGGGGGCACGGGTGGCCCAGTCGTCTAAGGCGCCGCGATTCGCTGTGCAGAGTTGCGTCCCTTGGGCACGCCAGAAACCTATGATTGTGGGTTTGAATCCCGGTTCGCCCCAATTATGTTTGTAGGTTTGTCAGCACCATACCCGTGCTCGTGGGTTTCACCGAAGTGGTAAACGTCTGAGACCTGCATCACTTCGGGCTTTCCTCCCACATTAAGGTGACACACCGTGATATAACTGGAATACTGTTAAAAGCGGCGTTAAACCCAACTCACTCACTCACTCTAATCACCTGAACCCACCATGGACTTTCACTAGCGTGGAGTTACTTGCCCTTGATATCCCTTTAGCATTTTGGTGACTCATTGAGATATCCTCCTCCATTAATATTTTTTTATTAGGTTTGGTAGGCATTGTTTGTATATATTTACATCGGAAGTTTATTAAATATACGTTTCCGTTTCTGAGGACATCCCGTTACAGGTCACGTCAGAACGACCTTTCCCGAATTTTGACCGACCAATGAAATGACCGACATTAGCCAATCAGAAGGCAGCTTTCTCGAGCTTTAAGACACTAGTTTCAAACTGGCGACTACGCTTCGAAACATATTTTGACATAATCTCGATTAAATTTTATTGAAACTGATAAGAACATTCTGGAATGGCTTAAAGATGGCCTAGATTGTCTGGATATAATCATAAAACCCGTAACTGTCGTTCAGAATAAATATTTGGTTGCATGATTAGAAAACACATTCCGACTGTCACATTCATGATCTGGTAAGTGACGCTCTGATTCGTTGGATGAAAGGTCGTTCCGACATGACCCTTAATGGGATGTCCTCAGATCTTTGTTTAGCGATAGCGAGAACTAAGATCTGATTTTAATGAGATTGGTATTTTTGTACTCGTATTAGTAGGGTGTGTGAAGTGTAGTAATGAAGTGTGAAGTGTAGTCATGCAGTATGTAGCTTTTCCCAGTAAAGAAAGGAACATCTATTGATGCATACAGAACTGGGTGTAATTCTAGAATAATTTACTTTCAAATATGTAAAGTATGGACGTTGTCAATACAATGATGAATTTGATACTCCTGTATAATTTCCGCATTCAAATTTATTTCATAAGGGTAATTTGTTTTGTATATTTGAAAAGAGAGTATAGTACTGTCCATTATTATTTGGGTTGAAAAGTGCAATTCATCTGTTTGGGTATTTTATGGTGAAGTGGAGTCATTTATTTAGCCCAGTTCATTGCATCTTGCAATGACTTCATTCTGGGTTTTGAAATGACATGTTGACATCCTTGAGAATTTCTTTAATACTGACTATGTTCTCTTCAGCTGCGAATGTTCTTCGCGACAGTAACGGAAACGTCAAGGTTGGTGATTTTGGTGCATCCAAGCGGTTACAGACAATATGTAGTGCGACGGGCATCAAGTCAGCCGTGGGTACACCGCATTGGATGGCCCCTGAGGTGATCAATGGCGAGGGTTATGGAAGAAAGGCGGATGTGTGGTACGTATACACCCATGTCACAAACATGTCATGGTCTAGTGGGTACTGCTCTCCTTATGTTGAACACGGAGTTCAGCTCCCATGGGTTCAGCTTGTAAGTGGGGGGTTAGTGTCATGGGATTTACTATAATTGAAGATTATGGGCTACCAAAGAAAGGACAGGTACAAGTTCTTTGTTGTAAGAATTATGATCGGTTGAAGCAGAAGGCTCAAAGTCTGAGTGGTTAAATCAAAGGGAGGCAAATCTGTTTGGTTAAATCAAAGGGAGGTTACTTTAGATAAAGTAAGAATATTAAAAGGAATTCAGGTGGACTGTAAGTTATCTGACATTTTCATCAGTCTGCATTTAAGGTTTGTCAGACAAATTTCTTATAAGCATTCCCTTCTCTTTAAATGCCATGCTGTGATATATAACTGAAATACTATTCAAAGATGCTCACTCAGTCTAAACATTTACATTGTAATGCTTTCTTGTTGCAGGAGTGTTGCGTGCACTGTTGTAGAAATGTTAACGAAGAAGCCACCATTTGCAGAATATGAAGCATTCGCCGCCATGTTCCAGATTGCCACGTGTAAACACCCAAAATATGATCTTCCAAAAGAAACTTCTGCTGTGGGGAGAGATTTTCTGATATATATGTTCAATCGAAAACCAGCAGATCGGCCTTCTGCTGAGGACTTGTTTTCACATAGATTTTTCCGGGAACTGACATAGCATGTGGCCTTGACCTTTAGGAATTTTCTGATCATGAGACCCGTCTTTCAAGCATCTGGCTGCAGAATGATATTTATGTGTTTGGAGGACGAAGGAAGGTTTCTCTGTTGAGTTGGAGGACGGATATATACCAGTGTTGCGATGTCTCCGAAAGTACATCTGACATCGGAGGTCTCGACAGATCTTTGTTTACTCCAGTCATGAATGTTGCAAAGGCATCATCAGATATTGTGTTTTGTGTTCTGCAAGTGCTCATTCTCTCGCTCCGAAGTCTGATTATGCAGAAACACCGTCATTGTACACATATACATGCATTGTATGATGATGTACTTGTGTAACTCTCCGCAAATCCAGAAGTACGAAAATATCTAAAGCATTTATATATTCAACATCTATGCATTGCTTCCCGGACCCAAAACTGCAGGCGGTGGAGGAAGGGACAATATTCCCTCCATAATTGGAGATCTCTTGTAGGGAGTAGTCTCCCCTTGTGAGGTAAATAATGCAACTTCCTGTGGATATATTGGCCCATAATGTACATGCATATATGCTAATGTATTTTCAGTTCGGATGGTAACAGGTCCTGATGAAGGATTATCAACAATTGTTGTTACTAAACTTACTAACAAATGACCGAGATAAGAAAATGAGCTTGTCGCTACAAGTCGGCTTGAGGTCTTCAAGATGCTTGTGGTGTTGATTGGGAGACCGGATAAGTCGGAGATTAAGAAGATGATCGAGTGACCTTGACCTATATCCCAGATCAAAAATATGTCGATACATGTTCACAATCACTAGACCCATTACTATCTTCATACATGGTGTCAATTTCTAAATCTGATTGACGTGGTCAACACATTTCATGGATACATTTTACGCATGGATTTGAATTAGCTGAAGACAAGCCCACCGAAACTGGGGGTGTGCACTCGTCAAATAGTGTGTTCAGGAATACTTTGTTACAGAATGTTCATCATTGTCCTGTTTGAAGTTTCCGATTCCTCAAGAGGATCCTTGCGACGATGATACTGTGAAGTATTTTGAAAAGGTTTCTTTGACAGGATGTCGGAAAACTGTGATGTAACTGTCTCAGCAGTGTTATTGCAGCTATGATTGGTTGAGTTTGTTACATCAGCTGTGATAGGTCATGTTGCATAGGTTGTTAGAAAAGTTTCGCAGACATACTATTTTCCGGCCCATGAGATCTCCCTCGATTGTAACTGTGACGCGGGACATCATATTCTTACAAAATGGCCGCCGTTTTGTATCTGGTGCGGAAAGACTCGGCAAGAGCTAATGCAACCTGGAAGTCTGTCAGTAGCCAGTTGGTACTTGGGGGATGAAAGACTGTGTAAGCTGTCACCATGGTATACTCATTAATAAGGAATTTGACTGTAGCCATTTGTCACATGATCACCAAATTGAGCCAAAAATACAGTATTGGTAGATTATGCAAATTTAAAAAATGCAGGCAATTCTTCATTATGATTTATTTATTAGTTAGGATGGTCTAAACCTAAATAATTATTGCTGTTTTGTGAAAAAAGGATTATTTCAAATGAAAATGCATAATTCAAGGTCGATAGATTTGCATAAGGGATGTTCCCAAAATGGGTAAATTAGGAAGCATGTAGGCAGGGAGCATACTGCATTCCCCAACAGCATAATACATAATACCTTGAAGCATCTCGTTGTTCTGTTAATGGCTACACTTGTTACACTGACAACGTTATTGTAAATATTTCTAGTGGTTACATTTTACAAACCAGGGTCAGGCCGTTTTCAACCAGCTGATGTGGATAAACCTATTTTATTTCTTGTTTTTAAAGTGGGAAATTTATGGTAGGTCACTATATACCAACCAGTAGAAAGGCCACAACAAATTCATTACACTGACAGCAAATTTTATCAGAAAAGTTGTCATTTGAAATCTACACTTTCATACACGATGCTTTAAAACATCCTCAATGTGTTGGACATTATCCACACAAGATCTCCACCTGGTTAGCATTCAGTGAATTGGAAATCAATTTGTTGTGACCTGAAGATTTTAGATGCAACCCGTAGAAATACCCTGTTTTGTTTGATAATCAAAATATTGTTGTTGGATATGTACCAGTGTTAAGTTGCAAAGTCATTGTAAATTATTTAAAATGGTGCCAAATGTTTAGATAGTAATATATGAAGAAAAACTTCTGGCTTGATTATTGATGGGAAATAATACAAATTTGACATGTTTAATCACAATGATGTTATCTTTTCACGCATCTCCATGACTTGATTATTAAATCGCATAATAATTGGAGACTTGAAAAACTGGAAGTTGTGTAGACTTGGAGAATAAAGTAAATCTAATACATTGTACTAACCCAATGGCGTTTAAAGGCAAAAGATGTCAATAAGAATGTATTGATGCTAGTTTGTGTTGTTCATACAACTTATGATTTACGTGTTCCTCTAAGGGACAAGCCCATCTCAAGGCTAATTTGCACTAAACCATCTTAGCATTAAGCCTACCTTAATGCCAAGATCTTCTGTGCAAGTGGGCCCAGTGCATGTTTTCATCATCTAAAAGTGCTAAGAAGATTAGGAACAGGGATGCTGTTCATGAAAGTCTATTTTCATATTTTTACCCCAAATTTGTGTGAATATGCATATGAAGTGCAATCATCCCCGCTCTGTATATAGTGTAAAATTATATCAAAGATATTCCCCATGAAAGGCTGTGTTGACCTTGAAAGGTCACTTGTTGATCCGACCTGCTAAGCACCTAGTGACCTTGCTGTTAAAATATGAACCCTTAAGTGTCCATTGTGATAAAGAATTTATCCCCCACAACTTAAGGCTTAAAAAAATTAAAGAATTGGTTCTCAGGCAATGATTTTTGAAAATATGGTGTGGACGGGCAGTGTTTTTGCGTATTCAAACGCGTATGTAACCAAATAAACAGTTATGTACTATCAACCTGGGAAAGGACCCCCAACATAAACAAGCATACAAACTCCTACTGTCGCCATAACCACAAAACAAGATGCGCAGTAAGGCAGTGGGCATGTCAAGGGTAGTAACTATACTTATATTGGATCGCATTGTTTATTAGGATTCTTTTTTGGTTTTTGGAAATAAAAAAGAAACGTGCGGCAGACTTTATGATGATGTGGGTGGTGCCTGAGAACCAAGGTTAATTTGTTTTTAGCCTAATTCATAATATTTTCGGCATAGTAAAAATGAAAACTGATTATGCAATAATATATGTGCCTTATTCTCCTGTTCTGGATGAAGATGGGATGTAAACTTTGGCAGATATTGTTTGAAGTTTATCTTCGGAAATTACATAGATATCCATTAAATTGTCTCAAAGCATCCCATCTTTGCCCAACACTAAATATTCTCCATCCAACTTCTGGCGCAGTTACCTCCCCTTTCACTGTCAAGGTGGTAGTTGTCTCCCTTACTGTGATTGTAGGCAATACTGTGTTTCTAGAGACAGTTGATTCACTTTTATATATTATATATCATACACCATTCAACTCACGGAGTTTGATGGCTTCACCTAAGATAACGATCATCCTATCCTACATAATTTAGCATTTTATATATTTTAGTAAGTCATTCCATTACTCATCTTGTACAGTCCTTTTGTATAAAGGCAAGGAAAAATAAAAAACATGAAACATTACGTTATGACAATTGTTATATTTCGCCTTGGGCAACATCACGTCGGGGGACACACAGGATGAACTACTCATGTGGGCCCTCCATCTGGACAGGGCAGGGTGTGGAAAATCATGCCGAACTCATTACATGAGATCGCCAGACAAAAGAACAAACCAAAAACAGCTTCAGTTGTCTGCCAACAACCTTGAAATTTAGAAGTTAATTTTGATAAAATACTCTCACAACATGTACTAAAACTTTGTCAGTACGACCAATGCAGCTGATGGCAGTGTGTTGTCATTCCTTGGTCTGATTATGATCACGTTAGAGGACAGGCTTCCCTTAATAGAGGACCACATAGCACAACATATTTTCAGAAGTCCTGTCAGAATCATACTCGCCGCTCAATACATATGGTTTTTGTTTGATTGCATGTTCGGCCTTGCAATGGATGAAAAGCCAGCTGCGGAGATACAAAAACATTTTCATCAATGTCAAAACGAAAATCAAGGGCATTAATAGACCGATTTTGTGATCTAAACTCCAAAACAGGTGACTTTTCAAGTTTTACACCCTGCAAAGTCAAGCTTCCTCTTAGAATGCTTTTTGAAGTACATTCTGCAGGAAACATCTCACATGCGTATTAATTATTTACAAATCACTTTTCTGAAAACGCCATAATCAGCATCACATGACAGAAAGATCTAGGAGCTGAATATGGAAGTTAAGATAATTCATTCAACATATGGTTCTTGTTTGGTAATACCACAATAGTTACGTTATGTTGAAACATTGCTGAAATATCAATGTAAAACAAGGTATTCTTCAGGCCTCATTCTCCCAATAGAAAGATACAAGGTGATATGAACAGCCCACTTGTGCATCCATCGACTGACAGTTTAACCAGAGACCATATGACAGATTATTAGATCTATTATATGGTCTCTGGTTTAACCTGACCATACTACAACACAGCATGGATCAACCTTTGTGGTGAACACGCACTGCAGTCAGATACACACTAGCCTGGGTTGTCCTAGGTATCACACAACGATAGGAAAAGACCGAGTTAAATTTGTATGGAAGAACTGAAACTTGGCTGACCACATTTTTGAGACCCAATAAACCTGACCAAAGGGATATAATTCAGAGTCATGCCACTTTCACAGCATCTTCCCTAAGCAAGAGCGTTAACTGACTTTAAAAGTCCAGTTTCCACCCTTTCCGAACTAGGCTGGAATTACTGGGCTCGATCGTAGCGCCACCAGTGGCTATTACTAGTAATGTCCTTTCTATGCCTCTCCTATTGACCAATCAGATTCCACCTCTCATATCACTTGCGTTTGCTTCACACAAAATGGTGGTGCCCAATCAGGACGATAATCAAGATCTATATTGTGATAAAACGGGTCTTACATCGCGAAATGCTTCAAATCACGTCAGCACCTTGATTAAAAACATGAAAAGATTTGGAAAATATCTGTTGACAGCATCTTTAAACATCCGATGCAGTAGTGAGGTTTATTGTTGCATTCAAGATTATTGTGTGTGTGTGCGTGCGTGCGTGCGTGCGTGCGTGCGTGCGTGCGTGCGAAAGCCTGTTTTGTTGTACTAGCTCACTGAGATACCATGCCGCAGTTCAACAGTTGAATGGAGACCCCACTCAGACAAAGGATACTGACCCAGGGCCAACCAGTCCTTGTTTTTTTATCCTCTTAATATGCTTCTTTTAACGTTTAATGGTATGACGAGGCCAGGGGATCGAACCATCGACCTTCCATTGTCCAGGACAGATGCCTTAAGCAGTAGTATATTCGGAAACTAACCAACCATGTATATATACCCAAAGTCAACAAACATGCATCTCCTTTACCATAACTAACCATGTAAAAGATTTGAGCATACAATAAGAAAAATCACAAACATTCACTGACCATTGATCAGTACAAACCAGTCCACTAAACTGGGCTACCCCACTGCACCAAAAGCTTGTACTAGAATGTATAGTTAGTATATAAACATGTATCAAACATGTATCACTGTCAAGAAAAAAACCATACTTGTGTTTCAAGTAACATCCCAGTGGATATGGACTGGTAGGTAGGGGCTTTTTTTTTAATATTGAAAAAGACCATAAAACAGCCTCTTTATAACTGATGTTAGTCTCAATGTTTGTAGGTCAAAATATGCTGAAACATTTGGGTTTTTTTCCAAAATGCAAAATATGGGTTTCTTGACAGCCTTTTCAATTGTGGAACAACGGGTCAGTCAGGTCATGCAAGTAGTTTTTTTGCTTTGCTTTAAATGAACTGCAACAAATATTGCAATACAAAGCAAACTCACACAACTTGTACAATGTGAAAATGTAGCCTTTTCCTGTGATTGGTGAAAAAAACACACACTTAAAAGATCATGCTCTACAATTCATTTCACAATGCTGCTGACTAAGTTCTTAAGTTCCATAATCAAATCACAACCGTCATCAACTCACTACATGTGTGAAAGTAAGGGGTTCTATACCTCACATGTTGTACCCAGATAGGGAATCTGTCCCTGTTTTTCATGGTGACTGGCAAATATATTAATCATAAGGCTGTGCCACTCCTCAACAAATAAGAAGCTGTATAATCAGGGATTCTTGTCTTCTATCAATAATTATTATTTGAAACAACTTGATTATCTCAGAAGCTAGAAACTAAAAGGCAAAAATGACTCACAAATGATTGATCATCTCTATGAAGCACATCACCAATGATTGATCATCACTATGAAGCACATCCTCAATGACTGACCATTGTGGCTGCTTGTACGAGTCTGGACTGATGCCGATTTTACAGTGCAAGCCCACTGAGATACCATGCCGCAGTTTAACATGAATACCCCACTCAGACACAGTATACTCCAAGCCGACCAGTCCTTGTTTTAGCCCCTCAATGCCGTGCGCCAGACAGGGTAACAACAAGTACCATCTTTTAACGTCTTTTGGTATGACGCAGCCGGACCTTCAGCTCTTTGGGAGGACGCTCTACCACCAGACCACGGAGGCAGTCAATAGTCGCAAGGACTAGGTCATATGGATTCCTTAACAATTTTAACAGGTAATGCCATGACCAGGGGATAGAACCACCGACATTCCTCTCCCTGGGCAGCAACTCTATCCACTACACCATGGTGGCATAAAGGATGCAACAACAATAACATAGGCCACTCCCTAGGAGTGGGAGAATTGACAGACATGACAAATTTGGTTTGCACTGATAAAAACTCACCGTCTGCTAAGACAGATTTTATGATGAAAGCATTCTAGCAGATGATTACTACCCTAATACACAGAGGCTATGTCTTGGTATCACACAGGGCACCAGTTACAGCATCTAGATCTTCCCTGGAACTGGAGCCAGACCATTGAGGAAAGATGTCATGCGTATCTTTTAAATGTCATTTGTCATAAAAAGTCGGCCAAGAACAGTGACCTGGCATAGGTCGAGTCCGACATATATACAGCAATAGATGCACAATGTCACAATACATTCTCCAATGTCTGTAAGTACAAGTTGTCTCCTCAACTGAAAGGCCATTGATTCATTTGGCCATGACGTGGACCAGGTTGAAGAGAGGCAGGTGTATTTGTGGCTGACAAATATCTAACCATGTTATTGAAACATAAAGCCAAGTACCTCATTTGCAATCACCATACATTATTGTCTACTCAGAAAGCATCTTCATTCAAAATTGAGTTAATCTTTATCACTCGAATATCCTTGACCTTTTCACCCAAACAAAGGTCATGACACAGAAGGTTCAAGCTGTCCTTTCACCTTGTCAGCAAAATACGGCTTGGCTTCATCTTGTAAATCGCCAAACTCTGCAACTTCCTCTTCAAAGTCTTCATCATAAGCAGGTTTCTCATGAATTCGGGCAAATATGGCCTCAAATTTTTTGTCTCCATCTGACAAGTACTCCAGCTTAACATCCTCAAAACCACTTTCTTCCAGCATCCACATGAACCTCACGGGATCCGGGGAACCATATTTCATGAATCCTTTACTCTGTGCCCTACGGATCCTGTCAAGGTTAATGGTCGTCACCATTGTTGACCCCGGCTTCATCACTCGATAGAGCTCCTGACTGGCGACCTTCAGGTCGGGCCAGAAGTAGTAGCTGTTGCAGTGGAAGACGCTGTCAAACATGTCGGTGTTGTAAGGCAGCTGGCTCACAGAGCCCATGCACAGGTCGACCTTCCCGTGCTGAATCTCCTGCTTCATCCGACGACTTGCCTTCTTCAGCATCAGTTCAGAATACTCAATGCCATATATCATCCCTGTGCCATCTGAAACAGAAGGAGTAGTTCGGTTTGTTTGTTTGTTTGTTTGTTTGTTTGTTTGAATGTTTGTTGTTTAACGCCACTCTCAGCAATATTCCAGTTATATGACAGTTGTCTGTAAATAATTGAGTCTGGACCAGACAATCCAGTGATCGACATCATGAGCATTGATCCATGCAATTGGAATATGATGACATGCATCAACCAAGTCAGCGAGCCTGACCACCCAATTCTGTTAGTTGCCTCTTACGACAAGCAAAGTCGCCTTTTACAGCAAGCATTACAGCAAGCATGGGTTGCTAAAGACAGATTCTACCCAGAATTTTACGGGTCAGTAGTCGGGTTTAGTCAGGACTTTTGAGAGAAATTCATGGCTCTTCATAGTCCAAACCTGCCTTCAAGGCCGAAGGATTGATTGATCCATGACTGGGCATGAACTCTGAGGCCTTCTGTTCTCCAGGCAAACACTCTATGTACTAGACCACGGAGGCTGTCTTACTCTGAATGGGACTGTAAAAGACCATGCTATAAGTGTAGATGAAAGACACACCTTTGACATACTCGTAGGCCTCCTGCAAACCATGTCCGGTTCCGAACCCAACCTCCAGCACTCTGTGATGTGGCTGAATGCGACTCAGTCGGGCAGCGTTCTGCTCCAGGTACACGTTGTTCTTGTCAAACACAAACTTCTGAAAGTAAAATATGGCCCTTTCAAAATGCTGGATCCACCCTTGCATCAACACTACGCTGAATCATTAATGCTTAATGCAGCTCTGAACAGTATTCAGAGATATATTAAGTATTCTAAATTAAGTGTCCTTGGCAGGCAAATTTGAAAAAACTTCTAAGTTCTTACCACTGTTACAGTTATTTTCCTAAATTCATAGATATTTTAACATTGCCCAAGCATAAAAGCCTCTTCTTTGATGTTAGTCCTCTTTCAAAGCCATGACATTAGTTGTAAATATGATAGTGATACACATGCTTCTGATAGACATGCAGTTGGAATCCTACAATGGAAGTGTTGCACATTTATTTTGAGATTTTTAATGCAATAACATAAAACTAAGCATTAAAACCTTTTCCTACGTGTTGGTCAGTAAATTCATGAAACTTTTTATGGACATCCACTATTTTATTCTTTGTCACGACAATTCAGTTTGTTTGTTGTTTAATGCTGCACTCAGCAATATTCCAGCTAAATGACGGCGGTCTGTAAATCTGGACCAGACAATCCAGTGATTGACATCATGACAATCGATCCACGCAATTGGGATCGATGACATGCATCAACCAAGTCAGTGAGCCTGACCACCCGATCCCTTTAGTTGCCTCTTACGACAAGCATATTCACCTTTTACGGCAAGTATGGGTTGCTGAAGACTTCTTCTACCCTGGATCTCGTCTACCCCGGGTCCACAACATTTCAGAGCAAAGAAGCACTGGAATGTTGTGCTACTTTTTGCTCCTTCAGGTGAATAAATAAATCAATGTTGATATCCATAAATAGTGTCATGTATTCATGTTCTTCCAACTCCTGACCGGAGAGCGGAAGGTTCAGGGTTCGATCCCCGGCCGCGTCATACCAAAAGACGTTAAAAGATGGTACTTGTTGTTACCCTGTCTGGCACTCGGCATTAAGGGGCTAAAACAAGGACTGGTCGGCTCGGAGTCAGTATACTGTGTCTGAGTGGGGTATTCATGTTAAACTGCGGCATGGTATCTCAGTGAGCTAGCACTAGTACAAGCAGCCCCCCCCCACACACACACACACCACCACACCACCCCCACCCCCACCCCACACACACACGTCGCTATATAAGTGCAATAATCTTGGACGGGACGTTAAACCCAATTTCACCTCACCAACTTCTAAATGCCTATCAAAGACCTTATTGGCCCTGTTATCAATGAAATGCAGATTATCTACACCGCTAAAAAAAGGTTAAATATATTTAAAAGAATTGGGAAATTTTGAAATCCAGTTTGGATTTCTTACTGACAATTTTTACTGCTCAGGTCAATGTGAATCCCTGCAAATTCCGCATGATGTGTCAGCTTAATGTGAGAGCCAGAGTGATGAAAGTCGGATAAGTTTACAACTTTGGTGAAACCCAAGGACATGTTTGCCAGTCAATACAACTTGTTTTGTTTTTTAGCTTTTGTTAAGAGATGATATCTTCCTGAGATTCTAACTTTCACTTCATTGGTAAACATAACAAATGTATCACATATTGACTATCTCACTTTGCATAAGTGGGTCATGCTGATCCTGACCTGTTGGTGGATTCAAGAGGTACCCGGTAGGTATGGGATATTTGTCCTGGGTCATGCGGACCTGGATATAATAGCTATAATATGATATAATAATGGCTTCATAGAGTTAACTCCTATTTTTGTCATGTGTGTCAACAACTCATTGTAACAAACTGTGCCATACTCGTTTTAGTCAGCTCACAAATTGAAATCATCCAATCCTCAATTTGTCAGCTCAGCATGTGGTCCTATTCTGCCCCCAAATCAAACAGATCAATGTTCCAATAGTATATATTGTAGTTGAACCTTCACTGCAATGAACTCCAAGTACCAATCAACACTCACCGAAACAAAATTCCCCACTAGGCCTTTCTGTGGGCGCCTAAAATTCTCTGCTATGATGTTTCTTAGTCTTGACGTCATACTGACCTGAAACAAATCAATCACGCTCATGAATCCTGTAACCATGGTAACATAACCAGATAACAAAGATCAGTCAGAACTCCACAAGGACATTTTTTATCCATGAGTGGTTTTTTTCTTGTTCTATGATGCACTTGGCAATACTGAGCTATATGATGGCGGTCTGTACCTTACAGTCCAGTGATTGATATTATGAGCAACAATCAACACCGTCGGGGTATGATGACACGCAATCATTAATTCTGTGTGTACTCTATATGAGTATGTACACACCCCTCTACACTGCTGTATATTGGGGACAAAGTGTACATTATACACAGGAAAATACAGTATTTACCTCAAGACATAGGTCATCTTCCCGAGGCAAGAGAGTTAACTGACTTTTAAAGTGCACAATCCACCCTTGCCGAACTAGGCTGGAATTACTGGGCTCGATCGTAGCGCCACCAGTGGCTATTACCAGTCATGTCCCTTCTATGCCTCTCCTACTGACCAATCAGATTCCACCTCTCGTATCACTTGCGTTTGCTTCGCACAAAATGGTGGCGCCCGATCAGGACGATCTGGTCGATAATCAAGATCTATATTGTGATAAAACAGGTCTTACATCGCGAAATGCATCAAATCACGTGAGCACCTTGATTAAAAACATGAAAAGATTTGGAAGATATCTGTTGACAACGAGTTGGCGGTGCACATGCTTTGCAAATCCTGCAATCGACTGAAATTTGCACAACAGTTTACGAACCGGATTTCGATTTCGGTGCGAGATTTTGATTGGACTATGCATAGACTCGTCAGTCCAGCCAAAATGTAACTCCATAATACCAGCCTAGTTCGGCAAGGGTGGAAACTGGACTTTTATAGTCAGTTAACTCTCTTGCCTCGGGTAGATGGACATAGGTAGGTGGAAACGAGGAAGGCTGACATCTCAAACATTGGTAGAAAGCCCACAACTCTGGTGTTTGCCTCATTAGAAGAGAAATGCTCAGAATAACTGCTCAATCACTACCTTAAAAGTTAAATGTGAAGTTTCCATACCAAACAAAATATTTGCAAATAATTTCATGCACTCCATATTTGAAACAACAAAGAAATAATATGCTTATGAAAGGTGTACATTTAAAAGCCTTTCTTTACTGATTGAAAAATGATTTCTGTCCTCTTATTTCATATGACTTCTAGCGGCCTTGACCTAATGGCGAGGTCATTCAAAAAATTCATACAATAGGGACACACACACACACACATGCTAGGGATCATATGAATAAAATTTTGTCAAATTCAAATAATTAATACAAGTTATTGTGTGCACAATCTTCTTTAAAACCTTGCTTACACAGAGCAAGGATGCAACTGGGCATGAGCCAGCATGATCCAGTTGGTTGGTTTCATGTTCAAGGTAACCTAAGGGCCAGAAATAGTAAGGTCTTCTACGGTGTTCAGAGTATGTCTAATATGTTACAATCTCCTTCAAATCAGATCTTAGTTCTTGCTGCCGCTAAACAAAGATCTGAGGACATCCCATTACGGGTCACGTCAGACCGACCTTGCACGAACTTTGACTGACCAATGGAATGACCAATCAGGAGGCAGCTTTCTCATGCTTTACGGCACCTATTTCAAATTGGCGTCAAAGCTTCGCAACATATTTTGACAAATTCTCGATTACAAATTTGAAACCTAAACAAAAGAACATTCTAGAATGGCTAATAGATGGTCTAGATTGTAGGCATTCAGTCGTTAAACCTGTAACTAGCGTTCGGAATACCCTGTGTTAAAGTTTTCTAGGTTGGATGATTAGAAATCACATTCCGATTGTCACTTTCATGATCTGGTAAGCGACGCTCTGATTGGTCGGATGAAAGGTCGTTCTGACATGACCCCTAATGGGATGTCTTCAGATCTTTGTTTAGCGGTAGCGAGAACTAAGGTCTGATTTTATTGAGATTTAGGATTAGGAGAGGCACACAATCTGTGAAGTTAGAGCCCAAGCTGGCAAGTCTGAGCCAGTTAGCTTTATATGCTGTGCCTGGTAATTAAACTGCCATGTTGCCCAATCTTTAATATTAATTGGTATGCACACATCATACAAAATGTACCATAGAATACTGTTCTCACTAGGTTTACGAATTTCATATCACTGTTTCAAGAGCAACACTCCGACTTCGAAAGTATTGAAATATGGTCATCAGGGATGGCTTTTTCTTCGTGGATTCAGCATTTTCTTATTTAATATGGACTGCAATGCAGACTGGTTTGACTATTGTTCTGGCGATAATGCGGCCTAATTAAATCAGCGCCAGCGAGACATCTAAGAGTTGGAGTATTGTTGCATTTACTGATTTAGCATCTTCTAGTCGGGTTGCACCCGACTCGCCTAAAAAATCTGACCCGACTCGCCTAAAAATATATAGGCCTATAATATTTTGGTATCATCCATAGAATTTGTCTTCTGTCATATTTATCCATAGAACGGCTGGTTACTATGCTAAACGTGCTGCGCTTCATGTTGAGTCAGTGAGTCAGAGCCCAGTCGGTTACGCTAATGAGACCGAGACTACAACACTAACATTTAGGTACATTATGTGTATAAAATGCATTACTATGTATTTCTGATAGTTACATATACTTATTCTAAAATACAAAAACCGACCGTAGTTCGCTCAATAACATTTTAGGTGAGTCGGGTCAAAATCTTTTTAGGCGAGTCGGGTGTATTCCTCTAGTCTGATGTGTGGTGGAGCTCCAATGTGTTTTTATGATCCACCCATATAATGTCATGCACTATATTGCACATAGCAAGTACGGATTTGAAGGCGTTATTAATTTTGTGTGCGGGCGATGTACGGGTGAACAGCTGGGGAATGGTTCATTTGTTTACATGAGGGGGGCACTTTCTTCTTGGTCAAATAGTTTATCAAAAGACTGAACAGATTAAGAATCTTCCCGAACACAAATAAAGCTTCATATAATGAATGACTACCTAAAACAAAACAATTGGCTCTCTTAGACGTGCATAAACTTACTCTCGCAAATCAATGACAATAGGAATCTGAGTTTCGAAATAAAACATACTCAATGTCAAATGCAAAGTTACTTGTATCACATGGAGGCAGCCATGTTTTCCCCGTGTAAATCACGTGATCGCGGGATCACATTTACTCACAGAGATAATATTTCAAACCATAACCGACACACCGACACTCACACGCGCGTGCACATATAATTGTAGCAGAACATGTGTGTGCATCGATAAATGATAAATGAAAACACGGCTACGGGAATGATTCGTTTTATTAGATGACGAGTATGTATGGTATACTTTTCTTTCACACCCTGAAATGCACAATAACACTCAATAAGAATCTTGTAAATTATGACAATTAAAATGAGAACATGATACTTCATTAGGATTACATTATACATACATATAGTATATGCATACGTCAAATCAACATACTTCTTGGGTGGTGTAAAACGTGATCAATAGATAAACATAATAATAATATATATTGACATGTGGTGATAAGTAAACATACCAGACGTATGACCTCTAGGTGTAGGTTACACTTTAGTCTGCCACGACTACATGGCCAGGGCTACAGTGACATCAAGGTACCTATAAATATGAAATTATTCTAAATGTACAATAAGCTTCCTTACACAATGCTCTTGCACGTGTGGACCTTATTATCAAATCAGTGCTATTGTTTATAGATATTTACAGATCTGAAAACAGCACTACCATAAAACACAATAAATTAATAAACATCCTAAAACTATCATAAATGTCCACACACTTACAATACATTTAACACATATATGATAATAGCCTCATAAACATATTCAAACAACGCCCTGTCCAGGAGAATCAGACATTGACTAAATCTCACACACATCATAACAAATACCTTATTTAACGTACACCTATATATATATAATCTTATTTATGAAAAGATAGGTTTATATATGTTTGAGTATTTAATTGGAAACATACCTAGACTTTACAAAATCTATAAAATGTGCCCATTTGCTGTCGCCTGTCAGTGACTTGCCTGTGTAGTGACTGAGGTGCAAGTGAGGGTTAAAAAGCATGCAAAGCTGACCCTAAAGAAAACGATAGGGTCAACCACTCAACCAGAACATTTGCCCTGGCTGACACAAAAGAGCTGATAGGGTAGTGACTGACCCAAGCATAACTAAGTTAAAAGGTGTTGTATCAAATCTTCATTAAAATCCCTAAAACCCATACTGCAAACTAATACTAAATACTATATACTAAATACTAATATTAAATACTAATATTAAATACTAATACTAAAACTAAATACTAATATTAATAATGATACTAATGACTAATACTAACTACACTATGTATTATATACACTATATACTAATACTGACACTAGGTGATTTACTGGTTAGTTGACAGTCAAACAAAAACCTGTAACTGCCACACAATAGCGGGGAAAAGTAACTTCAAATAAAGTGGTTTGTAAATGTTATTTTATATTTATTATAATAGTCATTGACACAACTCTAAACAGGTAACAGAAGACATACCAACACGCCCCTAAAAGAGGAGTAAAAGTTGTCGTCTAACAACTCAATTAACAATCTCAATATTGGGTGTGATCACCACTTGCGTTGATATATATAGGCGAGGCAGCGCATTGAAGACACCAGATGATTGAAAACCGCCAGTGAGTGCTGTTCCAAATGTCAACCAAAGATTGGTCCAACTGAGGTAGTGTTACCGGTTGGTTCTAGTCCTGTAGTAGGCGTCGCTCAATCTCATCCCAGGCATGTTCTGTGAGGGAGAGGCCTGGAGAACCGGCCGGCCATGGCAGTACAGCAATTTGTTATGCTCTCTTAGTAAGGCTGTTACAACACGTGCAGCATGTGGGACGGCATTATCCTTATGTCCCTCCATTTGCACAGAGGACAGAACATGATACGCAGAACAACGTAGGCCATTCAAGTTGCCATTAACTGGTGAGTTGTGTCATCCCATGCGTTGTGATGCCACCCCATGCCATTTCACTTCCATCCAATAACAAACGACGTTGAGTAACGCAAGCGTCGCTAAAACGTTGTCCTGGACGCCTGAATACCCTTGCTTGACCATCAGAGCTGTCCAGATGAAACCTGGAGTCATCTGTAAACAGTATACTGCCACAGTCTTGTCTTCTGAACCTCAGATGCTGTCTACACCAAGCTAGGCGTGCCTGACCTTGACGTGGAAGCAATATAGGGCGTATCGCTGGACGTCGGGGCCCGACGTTGTGCTCCCTTAACCGGTTGCGTACGATTATGCCACTAACTGGCCTTAACCCAGGAATTGTCCAAACTGTTAATGTGGCAGTTTGGTATCGATTCGTAGATGCACCAACCGAATATGGTTGTCTTGTTGACGCGACGGTTAAACACAAGTGTTTATGTGAGCACCTGATAGCTAAACAATCATCGCGTGCTGTTCACATTAAAAACATACGTGTGCGGGATCCTGCTCTCAACACACACGCAAACATCCAAATTGAACATGCACGTTCAAAATGTGAATCACTACCTTAAAGTCGGGTTTTGTCTTCATGAATATGTATTCAGAGTTGCTGCATTATTAATTTCAAAATAATATTTTTGTTGAACTGTATACACGCAGCACATTCACTTTGTCCGTTAATATAAAATCAATTTATTGTCTGAATGTATGGTACTACATTCAGTGATACTTGCAAATGAAAGAAGGATGATATACTCTCTGGTAGAGGGTAAGCCAAAATTTAGCATGTCCGAGGGTCAGGCGCGTTTCTTTTGCGGCCGAGTCTTCGTGTGCAGGAGTCCACTATAACCCGTGTGACAGTCGTGTGCAGAAAGAAGGCTTCCTCAAATGAAGCTGTGTTTAGTGCTACTATTATTTAACACTCCTGCAGTACACACCTGCTAATACCTATGGTAGTCGAAATAATTTAATGAATTTAAAAATGATCTCACCCACTATTGCTACCACTGCGCTGGGCTCTTGGTTCCCTACAAGTTTAACAGCACACCGACGCATCGATCTCAAGTATTAGACCCCGTTCCACAATGCGCGTTAAGCTTAATTAGGATTATATATCGTAACATACATACTGAAATTAGGGTTGCTACCGGGTACGAAAACTGAACTCGAGTACCCGGCAGACAATACCCGAACCGGACTAGAGTACCCGTAGTTCAATGTTGTCCCACTTGTTTGTGATGCTTTTGCGAATAAAAGGTCATCAAGCATCTATTGATCTATTCTAAGGTATTATGTTTTTTATTAAATGCCTGCATGGCTTACCTAAACCCACAAGTGACGCAGAATATCAAAGTAAAGGCTCTTATGTTTAAAACTTAGATGCTTTTTCATGGAACTCGTCGAACTACCTGCGTAGCTGATACATATGCCACAGAGACAGCATTTGGTCTTTGTCTTTGTGTCATCAAGGTCAAAATACGCCCAAACATTTGAACGTTTGTCCGCTTTGTCGTCCATTTTGAAGTGACTTACGAGTTATCTCCCCTGAACGGGTACTCGAGTCCTGAAAATTGGACTCGAGTCCTAGGCTACCCGACCCGTTATCGGGTACTCGAGTACCCGTTGCAACCCTTTACTGAAAGAAAGACTTACGACGGTTGCAGGGGTTAGATAGGGGCGGATGGAAAGGAGGGAGATTGCATTACACTTCATATGGTTTCGATTAAGATGCGCAAATTCGGCCAAATATATACATGTGTACTCTTCCAAAAACGAAGCACCGCTGTCTGATTCTGTCTGAAAGCACATACCCACTGTCTCACAATCGGGGTAATTCATCCCTTGTCTCCCTTCATGGCAACACTACCGGAACATATATGTGTTAATTAAATTAAGAATTTATTTCAACCTTTCACATTTTAACCACACTGTGATCCTGGTGTACAGTTTGTTACCTGGCTGACTCCGCGTGAAACCATACTCCAAGGACTTGAATTGTTGTCCAGACACGAGTTATTTTTGCAATTTCAGTATGGTAAGCAGCATTTTATTTTAATGTCAGGAACAACATTCACTCACTCACCCTGTGGTATCTGCTGTTATTGTGTGCGTGAAGCGTGTTGTTTAACGCCGCCCAGCTATATGACGGGGTCTGTAGATAATCGAGTCTGGACCAGACAATCCAGTAATTGATATCATGGGAATCGATGCACACAACTGAGATACGATGACATGCATCAACCAAGTCAGCAAGCCGGACCACCCAATCACGTTTGTCGCCTCTTACGACAAGCATGGGTTGCTGAAGACATATTCCAACCCTGGTCTTCACGGGTCCAAAGAAGCACTTTAACATCGTCAAACAAATAAACACTGTACCTACCATATGTAGTCGGTTCATAAACGTCAGAAGCAATTTACTTCCATAATCATAAATCACGGCATTATTATTGACTTCCTGCATAAAGTGACGCGATGGTCGTGTCGTTAAAATACGTTTTCTTTTGATCGACCTTCGAAAGGAATCGTACCTGTTCAAAAGTTTTAAAAAAATCAATTTATTCTAATTTTAAAACAAATTCGACTATCGAGGGCATTAAACGTGGTGGCATTCCATCGTGTTCGTTTAACGTTTATGACGGAAGAGTTAGTTCTGTAGTTTAATACCACTGCCTACACACAAACTTCCGGTTGTTAAAACTGCGAACTGTTGATTATGAATCACTGAAATATTTGTCAAAGAGTCACATAAAAGCGTAGACAAGAAGAATTCTATCATTGCTTGAAATTCTTATATACCGAGGATTGAAATGAGTGCCAATTTTGAAGCGATCAAGGGATTGATTTCTTAGAGATGTAAGTGCTCCTCCATCAAATTTTCGACTTTCTGCTCAGCTGTGTAGGAAGATGCTCATTTATTTACGGTTAAGCAAGATCGGAGATAATGCAAGATTTCCAATATCGTATTTATAGATATGTGAATTCCATCCAAGAATTCACATGCAAATATCACGCTAGTATCACCCTCCTTACATTCTAAGATTCGTATTTAGGAATGCACAAATGTAAACAATCGAAAGCATGAGCTAATTAACATGTTTAAATAATAAATTGGAACATTACTTGATATAGTAATGGCTGTGCTACATGTACTAGTATTACTACATTATGACAACAACATGATATTCATTTGCCATGTCATCCTGGCAACTACAACCTGACAATTATTAGAGCGGTGTAGGGTATTACTGAACAAGTGGTTATTACAGAACAACATCTCATTTCCATTTTCTTCTCAAATTGCTGATTGTGACAGCTGTTTCTATGGGATTATTTGAAAGAAGAACTTCCTCTTCTGGCATGAACAGTTTGCTTCTGCCATGTAAATTAAAACAAGAAGAAAACTGAGAAAAAGAAAACAACAGGCATCACATCTGTACATGAGGTGCATATATATATCAGTGATAAAAAAGGCTATGCCAACAAGTCTAACCAAAACTGTGATACCCCTTTTTAAAAAGTAACGTCATGTCTATTTTAGTACATTACGCAATTCCAGGCCATAATGCAAGGGTTTTTTTGCCATATATATATGGACTGAATAGTCTGATCAACACTAACCCATCACTAATTCGCACTGTCGTCCTTTCCAAACAAGTCGCATTATGATGATTGGTTGTGTGGATTATGAGATTGGTCATGTTGATAACGCAACAAAAGCTAATAATTCATTCATATGAGGTTTATAAAGTGTCAAAAGAAACACAAAACATGATGTGCATATCTCTTTTCGATATTCGTTGGTGTCACACCCTAATTAGTCTCACAAATATCAATATATCATAACCTTTGTTCATCCTGATGTATACACTACTTTAATTATAGTGCATATATGCAGTCGACAATAAATGTTTCCAATAAAAAGCCAGAATTGTTAATGTTGGAAACATGTCCTGCTGTAAACATGGTAAAAATATGATCATTATTTCATAAGGAATGAGTCACATTGTCCCCGATATCTAGTTCACCAAAAATAATTAGTAAATAAAAGAGACAACAACTCCAAACATTAGTTTGCGGAACAACTTACATTTTCATCTGGAACATGTCAGTTGGGGCATGTTGATGAACTTTCGAAATGTCCGACCGTGACCTAAAATAGATGTCAAGGGCAGGGATGAGCTTGATGAGAGTGCTTTCCCCTTCAATGTGCACACTGCTGACCGTTGGGCATCTTGCACATCATGTATCAGATATGACAATGTTATTTAATCTCTCACAATTCCAGTCTTGTAATTGTATCTTTTCTCGTCAGCCAATGCTTAGTGAGTGAGTGAGTATTGTTTTACACCACTTTTAGCAATATTCCAGCAATATCAAGGAGCGGGACACCAGAAATGGGCTTCACACAATGTACCCATGTCGGGAATCGAACCCGGTTCTTTGGCGTGACGAGCGAACGCTTTAACCACTAGGCTTCCCGACCGCCCCCCAATGCTTAGAGCATGTAGAGTAGAATGAATGGCCAAATGATATTTCAGTCTTTTAAGACTGTGTATGCTTGGCAGTATTATACCGTAAATAAAAATAATTTTAAATGACAGCTGTCTTTGATTATTATCATGACTGTCCATGATGATGTAAGTAATTCCAGTAATTCCATGAGTAATTACTTGCCCTCCAATGTTTCTTCCATGAAATTACACTCCGCTCAAAATACACACCTTTTATTGGATTTTAAGTTATGAATTGGCACAGGGGAACTGTGTTGTAATATGATTGTAGGGGGACACTGTTTTTGAATTTCTCATTGTTTTGTGACCGTTATGTGTTAGACCCACGTACATAAGAACTGCAGACCACTAATATGTGCAGAAACATATCGATATAAGTAAAGTGTTGCAATTTTAATTTTATCAAAACAAAATAATATACAAATCGTGAAAAAGCTTGCATTAACTTCTATCAATAAATATTACCATGAATGTCCATAAAATTGCATCAATGTAAGTTTGTATATTTTGAAGTTAGCAAATAATGTCTTCAAACAAATGATGAAAAGTTCCTCGATTGTCAGTATCATTTATTCTAGCAAGAATAATCCTAAACATACTAAAATGCATCTTTTTTCAATATAAATTTTCATGTATTGTAGTATTTGGCAAAACATGGAAGAAGTAATGATCATGTTTGTAGTTTTTTATATAGGCTTTGAATTACACTGATCATCAGGGTTGTCTTGAGTAGACTGTAAGTTCTTGTGACCAATCAGATAAACGTTACCTTGCTATGTCCTTATTTGGAATTTGGCGTGATATCAAAACTCTTATTTTAGAATATCGCTGTCAACATTGATGTTGAAATAAATTGATACTTACATTATAATGTTTGAAAATAGAGCTATCAATAGAATCCAAATTTAATTGAAATGGGATACGAAAATTCAAATTGCTCACCAACTGTTGGTTCGGAATAGCCTACACAGGTGTTTGACTGAGCCGACAACAGAACAAATTATAAAATAAATTAACAAAGTCAAATATCTATCTGCAACAGGTGTGCTGGATGGCATTTACTCGTCTTTGACAATGAAAATGATTCACATTGAAAGGTTTGTTTTATGCATTATTTATTGTTTCATGTAATCGCAGCAGAAATTAGACTGGATGTAGTGTTAGCTGGTCGGTAATACCCAACACCGCTCTACTCATGCAACTATCAAGAAACAATTGCCATCATGGACAATAAAAGTCTACTAATGTATTCTCTTGTAACATATTGCTTTATTGCATTATTAAAAAAAATGGCTGTCAGCATCAGTTACAATGATAATTATTGTGGTGCACATTATTCTAGACAAGGTTCTTGTCTGACAAATGTTATTTTTGGGAGAACACTTTCTTAGTAAAGTACAGATTCTCGTACTTTTTGGGGTTGAGTCCCGTCCGGGATTTGAACCCACACTTGCCAGAGTGAGGCACCTAATCGCCCACACAAAGTCAGTGATCAAACCCACTCAGCCACCGAGGCTTCACCTAAAAATGAAAGTCTGACAACTGGTAGTCTAGATCACGTACTTTGTGTACCCCTCCGACCAGTGTAAATTGGTACGGCTCCCATGTCCGAAAGCTATGAATACACAATACACAGTAGCTTTCAGCCATGGGAGCCAGGCCAATTTACACTTGTCAGAGGGATACACAAAGTACGTGATCTAGACTACCACACTAGTGGGTGATAACAAACGAAATGATTCACAATTTCATGCTTCACACATTTTACTGGGTGGGAGGGAAATAACCTTAGGAGCCAATGTTTTAACCACACAGCTAACCCACCACCTCACCCATAGAAATGACGACCAGTCCTATGAAGATCCGTAAAAGGCGACTATGCTGGTCGTAAGAGGCAACTAACAGGATCGGGTGGTCAGACTCGCTAACTTGGTAGATGTCATCGTATCCCAAATTTTGTTGATCGATGCTCATGATGTCCATCACTCGATTGTCTGGTCCAGACTCAATTGTTTACTGGCCGCTGTCATATACCTGGAATATTGCTGAGTGCGGCGCTAAACAACAAACAAACAAACACTGGCTGGCTGGCTGGCTGCAGTCACATGTATGGATGCTGTAATAATGAGATGCGAACTTGTAACATTGTTCTCTGTAATCAGTTGACCTAGAACCTAGGTAATAACCCGCACTCTGCCATTGTCGACTGCAACTGCTGTATGACTAGGCTATGTATGTAGAAGTCAGTAGTAATAACAGCTGAGGCAGGTATGATTCACCGTTGTACACAGTCTGCTACTTTAGCACTGGTCCCAAGCCTGTCTAGTAAAATAATGTTGGGTCTAGTGAGTTCAGCTAATAAAGTACCATATGACACCTTAATGTACAAAATATGATGCTAAGAGCTAAGTCTGGGCAAGTAAACACTAAAGTTGTTTTGACCATATTATTCTCAATGACATGATACATGTAGTTATGCCTCCTTCTGTTTGGACATGTGTATCATATATGTATCATATATGTATCTTTTCATGAAGTGTTCGGGGGCAGGGGTGGCCCAGTCGTCTAAGGTTGCGTCCCCTGGGCACGCCAGAAACCTATGATTGTGGGTTCGAATCCAGGTTCTCCCCGATTATGTTTCTAGGTTTGTCAGCACCATACCCGTGCTCGTGGGTTTCACCGAAGCGGTTAAACGTCTCAGACCTGCATCACTTCGGGCTTTCCTCCCACATTAAGCTGACATGCCGCGATATAACTGGAATACTGTTAAAAGCGGCGTAAAAACCCAACTCAGACACTCATGAAGTGTTCTGATGATCAGGACCTTGGACAATGTTGGATAAACTTCAAACTGACTCATCAACATCATGGTCATATCCTTGATATACAATCATTTAAATTAACTTAAAGTATGTCTTAAAATAACAGAACCGTGTGATTTTAAGAGTGATTTCGGAAATATGTTGTCCCCCTTGTGGAATCCAACCTGGGTCTTTGGCGTAACTAGGGCTGGCTATCGATACAGATCGAAAATCATTAACTAAATATTGATGAATTACCGAGAAATGTCAGAGAACTAACTTTGAGCAAATCTGCTAAAAAATGTCTGAAAGAAATCAAATTATTTCCCTCCACTGGATCACTTTGTGGACATTTAAGATAAAACAAAAACAGTTACTTTCCATCTTTAGCAATTGACATTTGTTACAGTTACAAGTCTGTTTTGTAAATTAAACATGTGTTAAAGCTTTATTTCATCACAATACAGTGGTAGAAACTAACATTTTTAGTCCACTAGTCCTTACAATGATAACATATAGCAAAACCCTTAAAAATGGCAAATTTCTACTAGTCCTTATGATGATATCTTAACTATTTGACAGTTTGGCAAGGACTACAGGACTAGTGCCAATTTCTAACGCAGCAATAGATTATGTATGTTATTATCGAGGACAACAATTTCATATTGATAATAGGTAATATTTCTTCCCATCGACGATAATTCTGATTATCAATCTTTTTTGCCAGCCCTAGGTGTGACGAGTGAACACTTTGACCACTAGGAAAGCCTCTGCCCTAGATCCATATAGTGTATCCTGAACAAAGTATCGTGAATGTCTGCTTCAGGTTGTCAGATAAGTTTCAGCCCTATCCCCGACCATAATGACCTGTAGACTTGAATGTGGTCTAGTGAAAAGAGCGTCTGTCTGGAGACCAGAGGATGGGTAGTTCAATCCCTGGTGCATCATACCAAAAGACGTTAAAAGATACTTGTTGTTACCCTGCTTTGCGCTAGACATTATGGGGATAAAACAAGGCATGGAGTCAGTATACTTTGTCTCATGGGGAGGTACAACATGTATTGCACAAAGATGTTTCCAGACTGTTTGATCGCTTGAAAAACATAATGTAATAATGTGGTAATAACTAGCAGTGTGAAACCAGCTGTGCATGGTTCTGATGATAATGATGATAAGGACCGCCTCTGTGGTCTAGTGGTGGAGCATCCGCCCAGAGAGCGGAAGGTCCTGGGTTTGATCCCCGGCCGCATCATACCAAAAAGGTGTTAAAAGATGGTACTTGTTGTTACCCTGTCTGGCGCTCGGGATTAAGGGGCTAAAACAAGGACTGGTCGGCTTAGAGTCAGTATACTGTGTTTGAGTGGGGTATTCATGTTAAATGGTAAATGGCATGGTATGTCAGTGGGCTAGCACTATAAATCCTCATCAGTCCGGATTAGTACAAGCAGCCACACTCACGTGCATGAACGTCGCTACATAAGTGCAAAAATCGTGAACACAACGTTAAACCCAATTTCATCTCACCTCATCTCTGATGACAGAAACAGGGTAACAGGTTTTAACACCCATCAACCACTCTGGTTTATCAAACAATGTTCAAACGTATACAGGGTTAGAAACTAACAGTTTTTGTCCACTAGTCCTTATAATGATAACATATAGCAAAACCTTTAAAAAGGGCAAATTTCTACAAGTCCTTATGATACCTATACCATTGGGCAGTTTGGCAATGACTATAGGACTAGTGCCAATTTCTAACGCTCTGTATAACTAAAGATGAAAGAGATAATGTGACAGTATTTCCTGTTAAGTAAAATAAAAGCATCCAAATCCCTATCAATAAGTTTATCACTGCCTTATCCTGTATGTATGGAAGTGGAACAAAGCTGCTGTTAGCATTGTAGGTAGATGGCGGTCCTACAAGTTGAAGTATTTGACGTAATAAGTGCCCGTAATAAGTGCCGGGCTCAATATTAGAAATAGGGAGCTCTTATTAGAATTTAATTTTGGTGAGAAAAAAAAAGAGTTGAAAGATACGAATGAATAAGTCTTGTGAACATTGATCAATCAGAAGGGGTGCTAATTGGGATTGTTCACTAGCCAATATATTAGCAAATATCGTCATGGGTGCTTATTAGAGCAGGGCGCTTATCACATCGAATACGGTATGTGATCTTAACCCTAGAAGATGACAGGCAGGGGTGTGGCTTGCTGATTGTTTGGATCTAAATGTATGCTGATATATATATATATATATATGTGCGTGCGTGCGTGCGTGCATGCGTGCATACGTGCGTGACCTAAGCCTGACCATATAACACAAATCTATTTTTTGCTATGCATTTCTGACCCAATGTCTTTTAGATAAATAGCATGAACAGGGTGAACTAATTCTAAGATCAGACCATTTTGTAATTTTGTTTTGCATATTTTCAAGATGCATGGGGCAGTATAAAAGAGTGTAAATCTACACAAGCACCTAGGCATTGTAATATTCCGAGGCAAGCGTGTCCACTAGCCAATATCAAAGTCTAGTTTCCACCCGAGCCTACTTTTCTTGGCTCGATTGTGGTGCCACCCGTGTAGAACATGGTTTGGTTCCCTTGTGATGAAAACGCAATATCCAATCAGATCGCTGTTCTTATTTCAATGGGTTCAATGTGTGAAGCCCATTTCTAGTGTCCCCCGCCGTGATATTGCTGGAATATTGCTAAAAGCAGCGTAAAACCACACTCACTCACTCACTCTTATTTCAAATGGCTTCACAAAGATGACTACCATGGCAGACGACCTGGGCACTCAGATAACAAAATGATTTGAGATTTCATCCATGACAGACAAGCAGTATGACATTACCACTGTATAGATCCTTATTACCATGATTACTGCTGCATTTTCATGTTACCTGTAACAAAGGCAGGTAACATGAAACACTCAGCAGGGGTCATCTAAAAATAGCACTGCATTAGGGCTTGGACGAGTCCAAATTAACAACCTGGGTACCCACCCTCCTATTACCCGACCCTACCCGGGTACCCGCTCTAGGTCTCAAGAGATAGGTCCAAATGTCCGACTGGGACTAGTTTGAAAGTAGCCCTGGCAAAATGTATTTAGATACTCGTATAAAACTATCTGATCATGCATAGACTAAAGTTGACTGAAGCTTTATCTTTATGCAAACATATAAAGTCAGAAGGAATGCAAACATTCTAAAGTTCAAGATACTTTTTGTCATTAAACAATATATCACTTGATTAACCACGGGTCCGGGTAGTCCTGTGGGTACCCGGATCCTACTCAATACCCACCCGACCTGAGTACCCGAGTTACCCGCCCCAGCCCTACACTGCATGTCTGTCACTGTGATATATGGTGATCATGGTGATATGTGAAGAACATGATTACATGACACTTTATGGACATCAACTTAATATATATTATGTATGAAGTTGGTCAGGGGGGGCTTATTGGAGCAGATGAATATGATAGGGAGTTTACATAATACATTGAACATGGTAGGTCATCGGGGATTTGCCTGGGTCTAACTATTTGATGTATTTGGGACCATTCCTAGGCATGAGAGTCCTAGATTGACAAGTGTGGCTTCTTGACATCTTCAGACTTGTGACATGTGCTGCACTTCACTTGACTTTCAAGGATTTTTTTGGACAGCAAAACATTGCACGATACCTGAGACACTGCACTAGTTATTGATGATGATGTCTTCCCATATGAAGAAATTGAAAAAGAACAGTCTTGATTGTATTTCTTGTGAGAATAGACATATCAGTTAGATTGAACACACGTTCTTGTAGTTTTACTAAAATCAAATTCATCTTTGATATCATTTTTTGTTGTTGTTGTTGTTGTTGTTGTTGTTGTTGTTTAACGCCGCACTCAGCATTATTCCAGCTATATGACGGCGGTCTGTAAAATAATCGAGTCTGGACCAGACAATCCAGTGATTAACATCATGAGCATCGATCCACGCTATTGGGATCGATGACATGTATCAACCAAGTCAGCGAGCCTGACCATCCGATCCCGTTAGTCGCCTTTTACGCAGCCATACTTAACAGTTGGATGTCGTGGCTATGTTACCATGGTTACCTCGCAAAACAAAGTAATGTCTGAAAGTGACAGACTGTCAATTAATCATGTTAATGAATCACTGGCCATGCTCCCAGCTCCATGATTCATAATGACCACAGACTCTGCGACAATGGGCTTGTTGGTTTACTCCATTTTATTTTTAAATGCTTGAAAGTCCACAGTAATAAAAACTCCAAGTCTAATTGAAAATATGCATTTGACTTATTGTGGTACATATGATGTCTTCCTAATCATGATAATGTTATTAATATTAGTTATTATGGTTGTGTGCCTGCCTGGTTGATAGGGTAGCCTGGTGGTTGAAGTGTTTGCTCGTCACTTTGAAGGTGCTGGTTCTATTCTCCTCATGGGTACAATGTGTGAAACCATTCTTGGTGTCCTTACAATGCAGCAGTGTAAAAGTTACAGGAACCATATGATGATTACCATAGTAATCAGGTAATGTGTTATAAAATATATTTAATATACATGACGAAAAAAGACTTATCAGCACTAATTGAAAACTCAGGATTGAAGCTCATCTTGTGTGGTAGTACGTCGTCCATTTTCACATCTCAGCTGAAACTTCAACATGTTCAAGGCCTTTGGAGTTGAAACTTTGTATGCATGATGACAGCTATTGTGTCTCTAAACCATGCTAACACAGTACCCATCCTGCAATGGCAGCCATATTGAAAATGTCATATTTACCTATTACTCAGCCATTTCTGCATATCTTTTTTTCTCTAGTCCTCAAAAATGCCATCTACCTACTGGTAAAAGTGGTAGTCCACAAGGAAATGTCACTAGTCCTTCCTGAAATTTACTAGTCTTGGACAAGGGGACTCAATTTTAGCAATTCTTCCTTTTGTTTCAGATGTGAAAAGAAGAACGAGAGTTGTGAAGTATTTTAGCTGTGGATTCAGCCGTTTACAGTCATGATTTAGCCCTGTCCGTTCTGCTCAAGTCAGATAAAGTTATGCTGGGTTTAAGCGGCCTATCTAAAGTACAGAGACTTGTACTGGGCATTGTGGTGCTGCTCATTGTGGATCTAATATGGGTAGCATCATCAGAGTTGACAGAGGTAAGTACTATCCACACACAGCCTTCTGCTGGGGAGTCAATGTTTAACAATATTTGGCAGGCAAATTCTACGTTTGCAACGTTTGTCTCCTAGGCAACAGTATCAAGACTATTTTTGTCAGGCACCCTGCCCAATCCTGCCAAATAACCCTTTGAAAAATGTTTTTTCCAGCTTTTATTATTCATGTATCAGTGTAACCTACATCAAAACCTCACAAAAATTCTTCTCACCTATCTATCCTCGAAACAAATATTTTAGATTGTTCATTACCTGTTGTCTGTCATGGATCATAATCATGATAATCATCTTCTCGCCAGAAACCACTGGACTAATGAAGCTAAAACTTTACATACATATGCCCACCATTGATGACAATCCAATTTGTTCAGGAGGATTGAATTTGATTTTCAAGATGGCTGCCTTGTCAGCCATATTGAACATGTTGAAAAAGTTATTTATCATGTTTATAGTCATTAACTCATTACTCATTTTATTATCAAAATGGAATGAATTTTTGTACACATGTAGTTGGTAGTGGCGCTGAACTCCATTCTATCATGTCTATAAATGGTAAACAAAATTGTGTTGATAATATTAGGACCAAAAGAAATTTAATGATGTGGTTCCCATGACTCAACCGGGTGGCATGGGTGGGCAAGTCGTCTAAGGCGCCACTATTCGCTGTGCAGAGTTGTGTCCCTTGGGCACGCCAGAAACCTATGATTGTGGGTTCAAATCCCGGTTTGCCCCGATTATGTTTCTAGGTTTGTCAGCACCATACCCGTGCTCGTGGGTTTCACCGAGGTGGTAAACGTCTGAGACCTGCATCACTTTGGGCTTTCCTCCCACATTAAGCTGACACGCCGTGATATAACTGTAATACTGTTAAAAGCGGTGTTAAACCCAACTCACTCACTCACTCATGACTCAACTGATATGTACCAAAGACAGCTAACTTTACATTAGTTCTCAAACATTTTTTGTAAATAACCCTAGCTATCCTCTTTTGAAATTAAATGTTATCGAGACTACATTTGTATTAGACCTTGTAAATGTATCCGGAGTTACTTCATGTGGACCATGTTCTTGCAGTACATATTCAAGAACACAGATTTCAAGAAGCCGTTCTTTACGTCGTACTTCAAGACCGCCATGTTTGTTGTTTACTTGTCCGGCTTCATACTATGGCGACCTTGGCGAGAGCAGTGCAGGCGGGGGTCAAAGGTCAGTTTCCTTAAGTTCATTAAGTGTTGTCATGAGGTTAACAATGTCAATGATTTGTTTTTTATTCTTCATTTACCAAATGGGTAATGCAAAATGGTCATAATAGGTGGCACATGCTTTCAATTCAACATTGTCAAAGAAATGGATAAGAATCACCAAAAGACTGTGTAATGTAAACATGATCAACGATTAAGAATAAACCTGTGTTTAATGATTACAGATTATATATTGGCACATACCAATGTCAACCTTGGTGTAATTTTTTTGCCTATATTTTTGTGCAAGAATATTTATTGCAGGGATTCAGATTGCTTCATTTTCTAGGTCATCAGGTCATTGACTGGTAGTCATCCAACATGTCCTAAAGATGCTTTGCAAATTTGGTGTAAGGATACAGAAGGATGTCCTATCAAAAGTTGATAAAATTTTGAAAATGTTATAGTGTCATTTGACAAAATTACTGTGTTCGCTAATCACTGCTAATGAGTGTTTCTATCGGACAATCATAATTTTTTATTGCCCGCCTTATTTTATCCTATCCGACTATTGGATTGCCGGACAATAAAATGCATTGCAATGTTGTTTTCTTACCATTCTAAGCTAAACATATAATGTTTTGTCTATCTTTTAGGCCAAGAGCGGTATGTGAAAAATGTATGACAAGTATTATGATGATAAGTAACTCTCCATGTGATTAAACTGTAATATCCAATATAAGAATATGATTGGTCATTGAAATCATAATTATCGACATAATCATAAAATGGTGCCATGACATCCATCACTGGTCAGTGGATCGAAGATAAAAATCACAAGTATGCTTACGATTGAACAATTCATTTTTATCCCCCCGGCATGTAATGCGGGGGGATATAGCGATCAGCCAGTCTGTCTGTCCGTCTGTCCGTCCGTAATCATTTCCTTTTCCGGGGCAGAATTCGAAAACCATTCAGTGTATTTAATCGAAACTTGGCAAATCTATCAGGCACATACTGAAGTGGTGCCTTTTGATATTTTGGGATTTTTCTAATTTTTATTTTTTAAAATTTTTATGGAATGAAGTTGGACATAGACTCAATTGGGGATGGGGTTCGTTTCCGGGGCAGAATTCGAAAACCATTCAGTGCATTTGATTGAAACTTGGCAAAGCTATCAGGCACATACTGAAGTGATGCCTTTTGATATTATTTTTTTTTACGAATTTTTATTTTTTACAATTTTTATGTAAAGAAGTTGGACCTAGACTCCATTGGGGAACGGGTTCGTTTCCGTGCCAGAATTCGAAAACCATTCAGTAGGTTAAACAATGTATGCTTCTAAAAGAACATTCAACTGTTGACTCATTACATACAGAATTGCACATTTACTAGTGGTTACTTTACAGACAGCTGCCGGGGGGATATGTGATCTTTCTGATGACTCTTGTTTTCAAGGGCCAAACAACTTCCTGCAAGAAATCCCAGATGCAGCACTAGTTTTTCATGTCACACAAGTCAATTTGGGGGACCCCCAATGCCTGCTTGCAATTTTGCTGAAATCATACTAATCATGCTAGAACAGCACTTCCTGCTGATGACTTATAGCTGACAACTATGGGTGAACTTTTCTTATTATTTCTCATTAACAATTTTTTATTTTTCAGAAAACGGTCGAGGAACACCATATTGAGAGTCCTCCAGCGGTGGATAATATGTTGGTGAGTCAAAGATATCTGATTTTGTCATAGGACTCTAGCACTGGAAGTGTGTCACCCCACTCTCCCCAAGGGCCAGTGAGTGACTGCTTGCTCTGCTGGGTACTTCATTTGTTTGTTTGTTTGTCTATTGTTTAACGCCGCACTCAGCAATATTCAAGCGTTATGACGGCGGTCTGTACAAAAATAGAGTCTGGACCAGACAATCAAGTGATTGACATCATGAGCATCGATCAACTTAATTGGGATGAACATAAAGTATCTCAACCCAATTCTCTGTTTCAGGGTGATCCAATATATGTGCCTGTGAAGAATGAAGACAAAAATAGCGGTACTGAATCCGATGATGCAGGCAGTGAGTAGAATTGTACCAATATCACAACCTTCGAACATTCAACACTAGCAACACTATATGGATGGATTAATGCCAATGCAATGCTAAATTTAACTCACTTGCTGCCTAGTTGTACTGAGATCAAGTAAAAATCCAATGATGGTAGTCCTCATTGACTAGTAATATGTAAGGGCTATAATTCTGAACCAGTTCTCAATGCTTCAAGTTTGCTACAAACGGGAACTGTTGTCTCTTATAAGCCGCACTCGGCAATATTCGAGCTATATGTTGGCAGTCTGTAAATAATCGACACAATTGGGATACAATGACAGGCATCAACCAAATCAGTGAGTGTGACCGTCTGATCCCATTAGTCACCTCTTATGACAAGCATGGGTTTCTGAAGACCAATTCTAACCTGAATCATTGCTAAAAACGCCATGGTCATGTGAAGAAAACAGTCCGTCCCATTTGTTGAAACAATAATATTCCAGATTATTCTAGAGCATTGTCTCTTGCAGGTATTTCATCAAACAAGTCTGTCAGATTCAACAACCTATCAGAAGTACGACAGCTATCTGAAACCTATGCAGAGGAACATTTATTGGCGCGGCTGTCGTACCAGGCGTCTCTGCGGGCCGAGGAGGCTAGGATCCGATCTATGAGCAAACTGACAATACGTCAGGTTATCAAGTTATCTGTATTTTTCTGTGTCTTGGTAAGTTTGGGGTTACTGCCGCTTAAGAATTGTCATTAGGAAAGTAAATTCTTCAAGTTAAATAAGTGTTCAGCAGAATGTATTTTTGCCTTAGGTAAGGATGCAAAGGAAACATTCTCTTCTTTTTAATTACCGTAGAAGTTATTTTTGTAGATTGAAATGAATGGATTTTATATTTTGGCAGGTATTTAATTCCTGTCTACCGATGTCAGCATGGTTTCCCAGCTGTAGAATATGTATTCTTTGTATGTACATGCCAAGTAGCACCCTATCCTTCTCATGAGTACTCTTTCAGACTTATCTGGGATTTGGTGGTGAGAACTGCCAATCCTGGATATTACTTCCATACTTACTGACTGTTTCACTGTAGCCCAGGGACGTGGATGTGAATTCTCACCCATCTGTTGTGGACTGCTTTGTCCAGATCCCTGACACATGAATGCAGATTCCAGATTGCTCAGTGGCCCAATTCAGTCTGACAGAGTGATGCCCCTTATAGAATTCTCTCCCTTTGTAGAACTGTGCCCATATCAATTTCTTTCACAAGAAATATCAATATCTTTCTGATAGCTAAAATATGCGAATTGAAAAAAAGGTATCTTGCCCTTTCATATTTTATGAACATTCTAAAGGCAGAGAATGAAGCAATAATAATGAAGAAAAATGATGATGATTATCGACTCAAGCAGAGACCATATATATATATATCGGTATATGGTCTTTGACTCAAGGCAGGCTAGTCACATGTATGAGTCACTAGCCAACCTGGTCTTTGGGGGAGCAAAAGTTTTCATACACTAGTTCTAGAGCCAGTGGGATTCAGGGAAATAATTGGCTCCAGATACCCCTTGCTTTTGTACAATTTTTGCTGACTACAAGTGGGATTGGTTACTGGATCCATGTGTATTTTCACATGAGATCAATAAGTGTAAAGTCAACACTCTTATATTGTCAGGTCACCTTTCAGATTTCCATTCCCCCCCCCCCCCCCCAATGAGTTATTGGCAATATTTTACTGAAAAGCAAGATCAGACTCCCCCAAATAACCTCTAAAATGCGGAAAGAAGATTATTACATGTCCTTGATGTTGGCTTCACTGAAATGTGAAATAACAATCTGCAATATATCCCAGGTCACCTCACCGTGATTATCGTGGCATATTATTACGCCAAGCCCAATATTGTTCTGCTAACCTAATATCACACTGTATACAGCAACTAAAGACACCATAACGAATTTATTATGTCGAAAAGTTAACACTATTTGGTATCTATATTGCACAAGTCATGTCAAAATGAAAACCTGACACTTACAACCAGTATAAACAACAGGACCAGTACATATGTTTCCGATACAAGGCTTCAATGTAAACATTAACCATGCAATATATAATGTACTAAATGTGACTTTTCAAAATAGTATTAGACGTAATAAGCGCCCAGGGCTCTCTCAAAATTAAAAATAGGGGCCCTTATTAGAATATTATTTTGTTAAAAAAAACAGTTGAGAGATTGTAAATTTCATGGTTTATGCTGACAACCTGATATGATACAAAAGAAAAGTCTGTGCGTATTATACACGACAGATTTATTTTCTAGAATTAATTTGGCCATAATTAAGGGTGCATATAACACACGAGTGCGTATTATATCAGAATAAATATGTCTTATGTACATTGATAAATCGGAAGGGGTGGGATTGTTCACTAGCCATTATATAAGCAAATATCGCCATGGGCGCTTATTAGAGCGAGCGCTTATTACGTCGAATAATGTATAGCTAAAATGGATAGAATTATCATAATGCCCAAATGTTGTCAGAAAACTGCGGGCCACTGTAACTTGAAAACAGTCCAATTTCCCCTATATTCCTATCTATATTCTATTGCTATGTGACATGTGGTATACGGTCTCATATTAGGTCAGTAACAACCATATTGGATTTTTTACTCACGGTATACTATTAGTTATGGTGTCTTTAGTTGCCGTATACTTTGTCATTTTAGGTTAGCAGAAAAATATTGATGGCATATTATTACGTTGAGCCCAATAATTTTCTGCTAACTTAATATGACACCGTATACAGCAATTAAAGACGCCATAACAAATTTATTATGCCGAGAAGTTTACACTATTTGGTGTCTTTGTTACACGTCTCGTCAAAACTTAAAACTCAAAACTTAACACTTACAACCTGAGATATTAAGGGTCAAAGGGAGACTACTCTTCAAACCTCAGAGGCCAAAACTTGATGATAATTTTAACTTTATACAATCTTTATTAAAGTCACGAACATGATCCAACAAAACTTTAACATCCTTGCACATCAAAATTAATTATATTCAAGGCCGTAGTTAACTTTTTTTGACAGGGGGGGCAAATATTTGTACAAGTATTACTTGTCCCCAACTTGTATTTTCATTACACAAATAAAACTGTGTTCTATAAAAAATCCAGGGGGGCAACTGCCCCCCCTCGGCTGGCTAAGGCACTGATATTAAAACCCAAAACAGTGTCGAATAACGACATAACGAATGTCTGTACAATAATTTTCATGTGAATTATGTGATTTGGGTGTTGGAAAATCCAAAATGGCTGTTACTGACGTTATACAGTCTCATATAAGGTCAGTAACAACCATCTTGGATTTTTACCGACGGTATATGGGGTCATATGGGGTTAGTATTTCTACCCTCTGATTGGTCGATCTCACTTTGAGGCATAATAATGCTTCCTGTGGCTTTTTTGTACCCTTGAAGATCCGGGGTAGAATAGGTCTCCAGCAACCCATTCTTGCCGTAAAAGGCGACTATGCTTGTCGTAAGAGGCGACTAACGTGATCGGGTGGTCAGGCTCACTGACTTGGTTGAAGCATGTCATCGATCCGAAATGTGTGGATCGATGCTCATAATATCATTCACTGAATTGTCTGGTCCAAACTCTTATTTACAGACTGCCGTCACATACCTTGAATATTGCTGAGTGTGGCGTAAAACAACAAACCAAACCAAAACCTGTGGGTTTTTTAACAGGAATATGGTTGGCTTTCATTGTGGATTCTTTACACATTTGCTTTTCCTTTTCAGTGGTTTTTTGCCCAGTATTTTTATCAGAAGGCCCTTGTCGAGACAGAGGCTGGTATGGTCAATGTGTTGTCGTCGACGTCGGGACTCTTTACTCTTGTCTGTGCAGCTGTTTACCCAAGTTCAGGAGCAGACAAGTTTACGCTGTCCAAATTAGTATCTGTTTTAGTCAGGTACTGTCAACTTTTCTCTACTTTCTTTTTGTATCTATTACTTTCAGTTACTGTTACTAGGCAGGTCAGAATTAAAATCAGGTCATGGTCATTAAGGTAGTAATGCAGGAGAAGTATCCAAATGTAAAAAATATTTAGATTTTACTAAGTCTGTAAGGGAGTGACGATGTAGTCTCCAGCTGTGGGGTTCATGGACAGCAATCAAACCAACCCTAACACTAAAACATATTTGGCTCCACTGCTGATAAATCAATAAACTTGCATTATGGTATAAAAGATAACTTGTGTTACTTTTGGAAGGTTTCTCTTAAAGACTAGAAGAAGACATTAGGAGAAATTTTAGAATTGTTATTCTTTTTGAGACCATAGTCACAATGTCACTTTGAAGTAATACAGGTTAGCTGAAATGGGGTTTAGCGTCGCATTCAAGATTATTGCACTCACCGTATATTGCTGTGTATATGGAAAGTTTTTCGTACTGAGAATTAGGGGCTTTCAATGAGGGTCGTCTTATACACTAGGTTGAACAGTTTTGATGGTTTTTTCCCCAACACAAAGACATTACTGTGAGCATGTAACACCAGAAATACCATGTCAACAAATCCATACTGAAGTATGCATACTAATCATGTAATTACACTATCTGGTTATAAAGAGTTCATTATATATCTGGACGTATGTTTGTAATCTATTTCATTATTCAGCGACCTTATAGTGATACAGCATTATGAAACTAATCAATATCCTTTGTACATAAACATTTATTTATCACTTATTGATTTAACTATGTTTGATTTTTATATGGCTTTGAAGTGAAAGAGATGGCAGTCTTTTATATTTGTGTATATTGAATATGTTTATCGATCATGTTTACCATGTTTACATTGGCGAAATAAATTGGTGTTTTATTTAATATTTTCAAACCCATCTCTCATGAAGCTTCTGAGCTTCTAAGCATCAGCCTCCTTGATAAATAACATTTTGTAAAAATATTTATATGTGGTAAGAGAATTTTATTCATTTAAGTTTATCATCCAGTTGAATATTCAATAATTTTCGATTTTTGAACAATACATCATGATACATAAAACATTTGTCTATGCACGTATTGTTTGCCAAGATATTTTATAATTTAAACATATTAACATATGAAAAAACCCAATGTTTTTATTGATGTGTTCATTTGATGGTAATTCATACTCAGTAAACACCACTTAGTTTAAGGTTTGGCCTAATGTCACTTGAATATGGTGTACAGTATGTACAAGGGGTGGCTGAAAAGTTCTGAGACTAACTATGAAGGATGTGTGTGTAGTACACCCTCAACAGTGGGCATGTATCAAGTACAGTAATTTCCCTGCTTACAGGCCGCAGTTGAGCCAAATATATAGCCAGGCAGCATAGTTCTGCAGGCATCAAAGTGACTCGGTATTCTCCGTTGATGAAAATGGACAATTTGCTTCCATGCTGGTCATTACCGTATTCGACGTAATAGCGCCCCGCTCTAATAAGCGCCCACAGCGATATTTGCTAATGTATTGGCAAGTGAACAATCCCAATTAGCACCCCTTCCGATAGATCAATGTACACAAGATGTATTTATTCGTGTATAATACGCACGCGTGTGTTATATACACCCTTAATTATGGGCAATTAAATTCAGGAAAAATAAATCTGTCGTATAAAAACAGTCATTGTATCCCAATTGCGTGGATTGATGCTCATGATATCAATCACTGGATTGTGTGGTCCAGGCTGGATTATTTACAGACCGCTGTCATATAGCTGGAATATTGCTGAGTGCGGCATAGAACACCAAACAAATGAACAAACTAACACTCACATGACAACACTGGCTGTCTCTATTCCAATATCTCTTTGTATTACTAGTATTGCAGGTGTGGTGCTAGTGAGTATATCCGATATCAAACTGGAGAATGGCATTCCAGCGGGTGCACTGTGGGCCCTTGGAAGTGCGATATGCTATGCCCTGTACCTCGTGTCGCTGAGGAGGAAAGTTGACCACGAGGATAAGATGGATATTCCCATGTTTTTCGGTAAGTTTTGGTACATAATATCATGTTCATGTAATACTTTCTTGGTGGGAAGTTAATCATACTGATAATGCTTCTATGATTTTGTCAGGTTTCAGCATTTTTCGTTTGAAGTATTTACATGATTTAAGACACAATTAATAATATATTTATCGGTGGTATCATACAGTGAGACCCTTTTCATCATAATTTCAAGTTGTTAGACAATTCTATCATATTGCAATAGTAAAAACAGTATAAATTAGTTACATGTATTTGATTAATCAGTAAATGATAGCTTTCTCTTTGTGTACTCCTTTCAAGCATTTTTGTCAACATGATTAGAAAAGTTATCTCAAATCAAGCTAGAGAATGTTATTATTTAGCCTCTAGCCTCTTATATGTTGGTGTGTTGACCAAGAAAATATTTGAAACAAGACATTCAATTTGTCTGGCCTTAAAACATGATGGTGAAGCTTTATTTGTTATTTAACATGTCCATTGTGCCTGTTAATAATCACAAGAAGATCATATGTCTGTGTGCCTTGTTGTGTTGACTAGAAGTGATAATGTGTCAGGGACTTGTGTGCCACTGTGACATGGCCTCCATTGTTGTCCAGGCTTTGTGGGTCTATTCTGTACACTCCTCTTGTGGCCTGGCTTCTTCATCATACACTATTCCAAGTCGGAGGTGTTTGAGTGGCCTGACAAGAAACAGTGGCTGCTGATAGCTGTCAACGGCCTTGTGGGAACAGTCTTCTCCGAGTTCCTGTGGCTGTGGTAAGTTGGTCATACCAGTCAGTCCTCAATAATTTCACCATGTGCGTCGTCATTTTTACCCAGTTCTATCCCCAATAACTCTAAATTTTCATTCATAAGTTTACATTCATAAGGTAAATATTCCAAAGACACATGCCTAATGCCTAGACTGATGGATGACCTGCTCCCAATGCTCATCATGGAACTGTTAGCTTTTTATGGTACTTCTACAAGAACAACATATATCATGTATATATACCATACAGAATTACGACCACACAGACCCCCAATGTATTTACAAGCCAAATTCTGCCAACATTTTTTCCGAAATATTGTCTTATGAAATACCATGTTAATACAGCACTAGAGCAGCTAGATTAACTGACCTAAAACGCTCATCATGACTGACGGTTCACTTATGGCATCGCCCTTTCTGTCTGTCTGTCTGTCTGTCTTGTCTGTCTGTTAACTTAAAAATTGACTTCTCCAAACCAGGGAGGTTGAGCCTGACACTGAAGGAGAATGTCTTGCACCATAGTGGCACTCAGGTTTCTGTATGGTCTTAAAATCAGATTGGAAACATCTTTAAGAATCTTCTCAGACACAAGGTCATGGAATCTGAAAGATTGAATTCATGTATAGCAATACAACATGCACAATAGGAGTCAGATCTGTTTATGAGTCAAAAAAGGGTAAAAGTTAACTGAAAATCTTTCATAATCTTTGTGGAAGAGTATAATGTGACTTTCAGTTAAGGAAAATGTGTACACGTCATCAAAAGCATGGCACAGAGATGATATTTTGTTCGACATGGAGCACTACATTTGGGTTCAGATTTGACCTCATGGCATTTAGATTCAGAAGTAAGCTTTTTACCTTAAAATGAGATGAAATAATATTTAATTGATTCCTTTTAGGTGTGGTTGGGAACCTTACAGTTAAAACATTTTCTTGTCATGCTGAAGCCCTGGGTTTTGATTCTCCACATGGGTAAATTGTGTGAAGCCCATTCTTGGTAACTCCTGTCAAGATTTTGCTGGAATATTGCTACATGTAATGTTAACATACACTTGCTCACTCACTTTGATTTCCACTGTCATTGTGAGTTAGTTGTTCAGACAATATTGTGAAATATTGTATATCTGTTGTTTTTAAGGGGCTGTTTTCTGACGTCATCTCTCATTGCAACCCTTGCCTTAAGTCTCACAATACCTCTCACCATGATGGCCGACGTGATCATGAAAGGGGTAAGTAAAGAATTGGTGCTGAAATACTGTAATAAAGTAAAGAGAGTGAGATGACATGTTAAGTCTGATATAATATAGCTGGAATATTGCTGAGTGCGGCATTAAACAACAAAAAACAAAACAAACAAACAACACAAGCAGATCTACTGGGAATATTGGAACACAACAGACCTTGAAACACAACTCACCTTCAAACCCGAGGCTGACATACTTTTCCCACACAGATTCAACAAAAATGAACAAATACCTGGAACTGGAAAATAGACGATTACAGTTTTCATGATCAGTTCCTCGGTTAAAAACTGAAACCAATCAAGAATGATCCAATGATGATGCAACTGATTACTTGCAACAAATTATAAGGCATGTTGATCGTGTTCCAGGTTCAATACTCCTGGATGTTCTACCTGGGATCTGTGCCTGTCTTTGTTGCGTTCTTTGCTGTTAGCTTTTTAACCCACTATGAGAACTGGGATCCGGTTCTCATTGCTGTCAAAAAACTTATACACTGCCTCTGCCGGCGCAGACTAAAATCAAGGTAAGATTGGAATTGTTCAAAGATTTGATACTTGGATCATGATACATACGTCTAGTCAAGTCCCACTTTATGAAGCTGTCTCAGGAAATATGGATGACCAGTTAATGGCAGAACTAGAATGTCCAAACTAAGAAGTCTCAATCACAACATTGCATGATGGTCAATACCTGTGATTCAATTCAATTCATAGATTACATTATTCTAGATGCCAAATAAAGATTCAGTGACCTAGTTGATTGTCTGGCCTTATGCCCAGTTTTTTTCAGGGTGCTGTGATATAGCTGGAATATTGCTGACTGCTGCATATAACAACGCTCACCCACTGAGGCTCACTCAAACTTGCTTGAATTACTTTCTCCCAGTCTTGCCCTCTTTGGTACTTTTATAATCATTCTGAAAAGGCTTAACCTGATTTCATGTCTATGAAACACAAATTTGCATGTTACTTACAGTTAACATCACTTCACTTAAGATAATACTAATAGAAAGAATATCTTTTTCCAGGACACGTGAGTTGGATCGTGAACAAACAGAGAGTTTGATTGGAGTGTCTGACGTCATGCAGTGAATTCAATATACAGCATCTTTTTCTCCAAATAATTTTGTACATCAGGCATATTGTGATATTGTCTTCTGAGCATTCAAACAGAACCAGGGTGCAAGTGTTCCTCATTCATGACTGTCTTTCCTCCACTGTTTATTCATACACTATACAGACTGTTTGTACAATCATTTCATTGGGCCCTAACCTGCTAGGTGTTGGCATATTCAAGGCAGACTGAAAGATTCCAGTTTAGTTGACTCGAGATAGAATATTACATATGTATCTGTAACCTGAAGAGTTGTTGCATGTTTGAAGATTATCATTGAATTAATCATGAATATAAATACATCCCATATGAAGCTTATTTTGTTTTCGGAACAGCTTTGCTATGTTAGAGAAAGTTAGTATTAACTAGAGGTAGTTATTCTTAACATGCTTTGAAGTAATTTTCACGCAAGCTCTTATACATGTTTATGAAATATTTGATGAATTTTCTCAGAATGCTCTTCAAAGTGCAGAATAATACATCAATTATTTTTGGGATTTGTTTTTTTCCATATTATACAAAACTCAGGTAGAAACAGGCAAATATATGACAATCTGGTCAACCCTTTAGTGGGACAGGTACATTTCCTGAAAACATTTCCAGTAACATACTGTCAGACAATATTTCAGGACACTTGTCAGTAAAGAAACAGTTGACCTTTCACAGTCAGATAATTTTTGGGCTTGTCTGTGGCTTATGAGACCTCATATTTCTCAATGGATATATTTGGGAAAAACTGAAAAACTACCAATTGCTACCAAAGCTATACAATGAGAAACCTGTTAGTAGTAGAGAGTTGGGCTACCAGTTGTCTTCACTGGAATACAGTTTAGCGAGTTGATAAGCTCATCAGGGAATCAGATCTTTCCTTATATTTGTCTTGTCACTTGTCAGTATGTGAGAGAATGACACTCTTTGACAATGTTGGAATAAGTTTATTTAGTCAATCAGCAATAAATTAGCTCATACATGGTTCTTCACTGATGCTTATTAAACCCGTGTGTGTACAGATCAAGTACCGGTAAGTACAACTGTCTCTCTCTTCATCTATCTGTCGACACTGAATACTAAAAACTCAATTTGAATTAATTAATTTTATTACTTGAGTTATAGATCTGTTACCTCAAAATTCTCAAATTTTGGATTAAATTTAATTTCATATACTGACGTTTTTTAAAGGGAGGTAACTCTTTGACTTCAATTATAGACAAGTCTGGTCTGTATTATAGTGACCACTCCAACAAAGTATGGTCTTAATTTTATTATTATTTTTTGTTTTAGAAAATGTAAAACCATCAGTTTTGAAAACAAATCACTAACCCAGGTAAACCAAACAAAGGCTAACTGTATGTACCGTATTCAACGTAATAAGCGCCCAGGGCGCTCTTAAAATTAGAAATAGGGGGCTCTTATTAGAATGGTATTTTGTTGGAAAAAAAACAGAGTTGAAAGATAAATTTCGTGGTTTATGCTGACAGCCTGAAATGTTTATATACAACAGATATATTTTTCCAGAATTTAATTGCCCCTAATTAAGGGTGCATATAACACACGAGTGCGTATTATACACGAATAAATAAGTCTTGTGTACATTGCTCAATCAGAAGGGGTGCTAATTGCGATTGTTCACTAGCCAATATATTAACAAATATCGCCGTGGGCGCTTATTAGAGTGGGGCGCTTATTACGACGAATACGGTATTAGTATTTCACCAATGCCTATCATGTTTGTGGCTGGATGCTCAGTGTGTTCAGTCAGGAAGGAACAGTTACTGTGATAGTGGGGGTATTTTAGTAAGTGAACATGTTGAAGATAAGTAGTTTTGGATTAATTAATGAGACGTTAAATCCTACATTCAGGAAGAAACAGAAGTGATAGTTTTCATGTATAAAGTAAAATGCTGTGGAATTTAGATATATAAATGGAAACGGTCATTATTGTATTAATATGAAAAATTAATTGCTTGAAACTATGATGTTTTACATAAATCTATCTCAAACTGAAAACATAGCTCATAATATGTTTGTTACATATATAATCTTGAATGTAATCTATCAGTGTAGTAAAGTCCAAATCTTACTTAAGTGATGATAAACTGATGTCACATATTGAGATATGTAAACATGTTATTTCTAACAAACTGAACTGTTAACATGATAACCATGATATGAACTTCAACAAGGGATAAGGGTTCTTTTGGCCCACATAAATTGTGTAAGTTAGGAAAAGCAAAACTAATTGAAATCACTATGAAGTTTATCAATATCATATGTGTTCATATGAATCAGAACTCAACATTTTCCTTTCCAACACTTACCTGTATGGCTATGATGTGCCCAAAAGGCTGTTTTGGATTTGGGTGCTTGTTCAAACTAGAATGTAACCAAATAAGCAATTGTGTACCATCAACCTTTTTTTTCAAAAAAAATGGAAATAAAAACGGAACGTGTGGCAGACTTTCTGATGCTGCGGGCGGTGCCTGAGAACCAAGACTTTTTTAGAAAAAGTTTGATAAGTTTCATAACATTATTCAAATGTTTTGCATAACTTAATGTTTCCACAGCACTGAAAAGGTCCATATCCTACCTGGTTCTTTGTGTTTCACATGTCATGGGTGGATGGGCCAAGCACTTGATAAAAGTCCCAAGTTCAAACCCAATATTGACAAATTATGTTGTGTGAGATGTTGGTTTACAGAACCCACTTGGCAATACTACTTGGCCAGTATATGGTGTCAAAGAGAAAATGTGTCTGAACAGTCAGGGTGACCTCTTGTTTTTGCAGCTTTTCAAAGGGTCAATTTCCATAACTCTTTGTTGGAATTCAATTAGAGCATTTCAGACCTGTTTGTGAAACAGCTTACATTCCCTTTTTGTTATCCAAGTGCAGATTAACCCTAAGAAAGACATACATCATAGGTTAAACCATGTACTGAGTTTTTACATTTAGTTGAATTTACAAGGTTTACTGTAATCAGGTGGCAACTTAAAAATGTGGATTTTTAGTTCAAACTACAAAAAAATCCATTTGTTTTTTTGTATATTTGGTCAAAGTGTCTATAGTGCACATTAAATAACTTTGTTTACCCTGTATGGAGGAGTCACCGATCTGTGATAGCTTATCTCAATTCCCTGCTTCTGCTGTTTTCTAAATGAAATAACTACAATTACCATGAATATACTTTTGTTTAAGGTCCCCCGGAGTCTGCATCTGCACAGTCTTTATTTTGTGCTCTAGTTTGTTTGTAATGGTTCTGGAAACGTCACAGTTTCACTGAATCTTTCTTGATGACTAGACAATATATTGCTGTAGTTTTAACTGATGTGCAGTAAATATGTTTATTGAATAATATTAGTCATCTCTTTGATGTGTGTGCCATGCTAGTTTATTGGTTTACTTACCATTGCTAGTTCATTCTGTGGCAAGTCATTTCAAACAGGGACTCATCCATTCTCACAAAATAAGATTTAATTTCTTAGTTGAAATAGAAGACATATATAAATGAAAACATGAACCTGGTGTTGGAACGAAGATGATTGACAGTGTAAATGTACCATGGGCCCTGTCTTATGAAGCAATTACAGCACTACGACTGTTGTAACTCCTGCTCTCTGCAGAGCTCCAGATAAGCTATTGGTGTTGTGGGTATTTTACCAATGCATTTTAAAATCATTGGGTATCAGTAATTCTATCTGGGTATTCAAATTTCTGTTACCCACTAGTTTTTACGCATATGGGTATTTAAGTTAAATATTTAAAAACACTATTCATCTAGTCCCTGGGTTCGAGAGCTTTATAGGACTGAAAATACCACGATACGTCCACAAGAAAGTGTGATGGCTAATGATCATGATGTAACTGTCATCGTGGAGTTTGGCAAGGTTGACGAAATGCCCATTTATGATTTCAAAATAAGTTGCTGATTTGCTAATCGAATACGCAGGGTTACTTCACAATATTTTGATGATACGCACAAGTTTTATTTTTGTAGCGTTTCTGTAATGTTTGTTGCGTATTTGATACGCTTGGATTTTATTTTACTGCATATTTCTGCATTTCTGATGCGTATTTTACGCAGATACGCAGCTTATCTGGAGCTCTGTCTCTTGACATACACTTACAACATGGCTACACTGAGAAACGCCATGATCACTCTGTGATAAAGGGTATGCACTATAATATGGGTAATGTTATTATGGTATTAGATCAACATAAGATGATACATAGATACGATAAGGCCGTGGTTCATTTGTATGGCGATGAATGGTATATATTTATGTCCTTATGGGCAAGGGCTGGACAAGAAAATTGATGAGCTCTTGAAATCTCATTGGCTTGACGTGTCTCTAGTCATTCACTGTGGGTGGAACACAGGCTTGTGTGTGTATGATGGTGTATTAAGATCATCCTAGATTTGCTGTGATAGGAGATAGTGTTGCTGTACAGTGTCCTATTTTCAGGGTCACATGGGCCATACGAACGTTTTCACATGGTTTCATATGACATGAAACACAAATGCTAAGCTTGTTTGAAATGCAATATTTATTAGTGATGTCATAATCAGTGTCCCACAAAGTGTTATTAGCACTATCGAAACTAATTCACATAGACTTACGCTGGTCGTAACACTACAAACACTTTGTGGATCGGGCTCGTGGACCCCAGGATGCCCACAGTTAGGAATATCTAAATATTTATCGCAGTCATTAATCTGTCACAATGACTAGTGTATCTGAAAATGATCCTGACGATTTCAATGGAAACAGGACTGTCCAGATTAACAAGGTTTCACTTTATACAAGGTTGTACAAATAGTATTATTGAGAGTTGATTTATGAGTTCATTTGCAATTACTGTTTCAGGGAACAGTGCACTCAGTTGTATGAATATGGTTGTGTAATATTAATTACATCTACGCATTCAGTTTCTAATAATGTTCTGTAAGAAAATGGTATACTCAACCTTTTTCCTGATCAATATTGGAGCTTGGCACCTAACTTACTGTTGGTCAGCTGATCTTGTAAGTATAAGTCTATATATTCTTAATAGTTCTGATGTCTTTGTCTTTTTATTTATTGATTGTATGTTTGTCTGTAATGTGATTTCAAAGATGATCTGGTGCACAAAACAGGAAATATTTTTCCTTTTTAGGTCGTACTTTAGTTCTTTTGGGGTTTCAACGTCTTTTTGGCCCCAAAATTCAGGTTGGTTAGTCGAAAAATATAAATAAGAAATTCCAGTTTCAAATATAATTTTGATTTCATCAAAATATTAAGTAGTTAGAAACAATAAGCTGGGGTGGGAGGAATAGGGATCCATCAATACTCATAATTAATTGTTTTGAAGTTTTATAGTTTAACTTTCAACAGGTTTTAATTATAATAGTTTAAATTTTTATTTGTACAACAACAGTAACTGAGTTGTTTTTTTTTATCATTTAACTTATTTCTAGTTGGTGGAATAAAAAACCAACTGCTTTTCATATTTTCATGTTTTTCCCGTTGCCATTATTTTGAGTTGGCAAATTTGTAAACCAAGTGTTTTTTAAATTCTGGCTTGTGACCCTTTCCAAATATTTGTTCTAAATAAATGATTTTTTTTTTTTCATGTTTGTATAGGCAGTTGATATAGTTGCACCTAATTGAGAAAGAATGTTGAAATATTATATGTTGTATGATTTCATAGTATATAAGTGTTCAGAATTTACTTATATTATTTATGGATGATGAAATAAATATTTGCAGTTTTGTCATGGATTGAGGTTATGATTGTTTAAACATGTTGTGTGTCAGCATTAGAAGGGTGAAGGGGCTTGCAAAATGCAGTTGGCCACAATACCTGCTGTCTTGTTCAATCTCGCAGAAAAATAATTGCAAGCTGAATGTCGGTAATTTCCAGTCTAATTTCAAATTTCAAACCTGTCTCATCTTTGAACAGAAGGCCCAGTTCACAAGTTATTGACTAGCAAATTGTGCATTTTATCATATTTATTTTGTGTAGCATGATCGCTTCCAACTGTCCAAATATTTAAGCAAGAGATATACAAAGTATTTTCATAAAATAATAGATACACATGTTGTG